ACTTATCCCTAACCAGTGTGGCCCACGATGGCGAAGCACTTCGTGCCTCGCCTCGGGGAAAATGTCTCGAGGTGATACAAGGTATACCCTTCAATGAGGCCGAAGCACCTCGATACATGGCATATTCCTCGACTCGAGTTGACTCGAGTCAACTCAATAAATGCTCTTCAAGCTGCCAGAATAGAGATACTCGTGTAATAGAGCGTATTTGACAACTGTCAATTTCGACAATTGACAGTTCGGTTTTGACAGTTGGGGGTCGCAAAATTGACATTTACTTCACGAATTCTCAAATTATTTACTAGATCTCGACCATTATCAGTGGCGAGATCGAGACATAAGGCCTTTTGCGAATTGATAGAGTCCAGCTCCAAGTTCCGGTACCCTGTGCCGATACCCTCATCAATCAGAATTGACGGTTCGGCAACCGCTATTGCAGCCAGCGAACTTTCAATTGTCGGAATCGACAGTTGTCAAATACGCTCTAATATACCTGCATCCCAGGCGATCGAACCAGATCAGAACTATTGAGAACACACTGCCAAGACCTACCTCGAGGAGCATCGAGATAGCTCAAGGCATTGGTGTATATGGCTCGAGGCAACACAAAGGAGGTCTCCTCAGAGGGAGAGGCAACTCGATATACCCCGTCTTTCTCGCCTCGATGCGCTTTGTGGACCACACTATCCCTAACACCATATATATATAGTCTCGGCCTAATCTGAGGAATTGGGAAACCGCCCGCCCCCGCCTTCTCTCTTATGCCAGGGGGCGTGGGTTGTAGTTGATCTCCTTCAGTCCTGTTGGAAGAGCTCCACTTTCGCGTAACTCTTATACAGGGAGAGCGGGGGCTCCTGTGTTTGGTGTTGGGTGCAGCTCGGACGGACGATGGGAAGTTAATCATGAAATATCACTCGATTAAAGTCTCTGCTGTTAATCGAGAAGCACCTGTGATTTTCTTGTAAAGGCGGAAGGAATGGTAGATTTTCAATATTCTTACTAATATCGTCTGGAGCTCCTGTGTTGCTTAGTGCCGGTCTGCCAAAGAAAAAAAAAAAGAACCGGGCGTTGGGGGGTGGTCTTGTGGGGGGTTTTCCGGGATGATCTTTTGAAGAAATAGAGAACCGGGAACATAAAGTGTATTGTATGAACTGATAGTTAGGGGCGGGGAGACAGGGAGGAGGTTCGCTCTTTATAAGTACAGTTTAGAGAACAGGGTGGCTCTAAGATAAAAGAACAGAGAGTTTGGAACCACGTCTAAACAACATGAAGGACATGAAATATGTAGATAAAACCTATATGTACATGTACTTATGTAGCTGTAGTATAGGAACAAAGATTTAGGAGCTTCGCAGAAACGGTAAAGATATCTGGGTTTGTATTTATTTCATAAAAAGAACAAATTCTTTGATACATAAAAGGAACAAAAGGTACTGCAGATCTGGCATCTACTACCCCCACCCCTGGGTTGAACCGTGGACCTTCTATAGACGTTCAAAGGTCGGCACAACCACGCGGTGTTCCGGAAGGCGAGTGTTAACCGGTAGGCCACTCGCCCATGTGTGTTATTGGCCGGAAGTCCTATTTGAATGCCAAGCCTATTATCAAAGCTTACTATCGCTCCATCAGTGCCAAGCTACTAGTAGATAACAATCTTGTGATAAGCGAGGTGTAAATTGTAGATGAGAATCTGATAAGATAACACACCACGATACTGAATGCAGGACCTTACGTAGTGAAGGAGAAATTAGCTAGCGACATACTCTTGAGAGTTGAAAAGAACGGGAATGGTCGTCATAGAGTAGGTGGGTTTATTAAATCGTCGAGTGCTGCGTATATACGTACTCCATACAACTACAGAAGCTCTCTCCGAGTACAATCTAAACACTACACACACTCACGGGGTGAAGGCGGATCCCGTCAGATGCAGGCGGTCAGCGATTTGAGGCCAATAAAAGAGTTAGGTTATGGACGCCAAGGGCAAATTACTGCAAACAGAACCATCAAACAGGATCCGCCGTCAGTAGGTGAGCGACTGTAATTGTACAGTAATCCCCAAACGGCGTGCCCATAGGTGGTTGTGTATCTACACAGTCCCATCCCATCATCATTCTAAAATCTGTCAGGTACGATGTCCGATACTGCAGCCGGTTTGAACTTAGTGGCTATAGGCAATGAACAAAAGCCAACAGTTTGCACAGATTATGGTCCCACCGCGTGAAATCCCCTAAAGAACCTTTACGGAGCAATTGTCTTAAGACAGCGTTCCTGCCGCTGAGATATTACAATGTGCGGGTGTGAAGCCGCAGATTATACAGCAGGAAGATATGCTCGAAGGCGGATATCTTCGGTGTCGATCACCATTCTTTGCTGGAGTTTATCCGACTGCCGTAGAGTCTATACCCATATACTGAGACTGAAGGAATTTAATTAAGTCCTGTGTAATCGGAAGTATCTAACGGAGAGCTGAAATTACTTGAAGTTTGAGTCGATTTCGATATTATGGTACCACTCGTCCCTTGTTGGTCTGTCTGGGATAATAATGTATCCTCACCTCAAGAGATTGTAAAAACTAGTTATCCTGCATTGATCATAATTGGTGTTGGTATGCGTATCTAGTCTAGAAAGAAAGAGTAGGAGAAGGGACGATCCCCAGAACGTCAGCTGGGTAGGGAGTGGGATTCATAAGGGATCACTCGATACTATATGTGTAGCCTGGATTTCATATTACACGAATACGTATCCTTGAGAATCCAGCCCAAAAAATAAGACGGGTCTGACCGGCGCTAAAACCGCAAGCAGCTGTCCGTGAAACGTTTTTCCTGGTATCGCACGTCTTTGATTGACCACATCACTCAGAGAAGTCACAACCACACAATCATGCATAGTGGTAATACAGAAATTACATTCGTCAAATCTAGTTATGTAAAAGATTCATCTATTCCTACTTTTAACGAGTCTCGTGTCGGTTGTCTTGGCTAAACTATTATCGGAACCGGCCTTTTAAACTCGCTCCACCCCTCACTTCTGCATTACTCCAATTTCACCAAGTTTTAGCCCCTTCTCTTCTATCAAATCGTTTAGTACGGTTACCAGTATTGTAGGTACTTCTATCCCAAGCGGAAGTTCGTCGCTAACAAAATCTGGTTCACTGTCTCCGCACTCCCTGAATTTCTCTGCTAAACGTATGGGGTAGCCTCGCGCATCACTCCCTGATTCTGCAGGTCTATACTCTACATGGTCAATCCTAGACTTAGATCAAACGTCTGACGGGGTATCTCTAGAAGCACAGCATCATGAATCAGTGGCATGGAGACGGAAGAGTCCCTCAGCACACAAGGGTAGTGCTCGGAGCTTATTAGAATCCGGACCGAAGTTGGGGTATAGACGCTGCCTAAAATTGAGAAGAGGAGGAAGTGAAAGAGTTAAAGGATTAAAGAATAGGCACCCTTCATTGGTAATAATAGTGGGTCCGGTGAGCGGGGAATGATGAATCGGTGGATTGGCGAATCGGGGAATCCGATAAGCAGAAAGGAAAAGACTTGAGCGACGGTCAACAATCTAGGAGGCTCGCTAACTGGACTTACAGACTGCCTAGTGGGTGATGCTGGTAATATGGCTATATACCTAGCTGACGACAGCGATATCTACTAGAATACCACAATATTATCCGCTCAGGCACTAGGAAATAAAAACTGCTTAACCACGTCTAGTGCATCCCTGCCACGACGCCAGAAACATTTTTACGAACTTGATATTAAGATGTTAATCGCAGGTGTATTCGCCGCCTTGCTTTTGGTTCGCTAAATGAAGACCCGTTTAACGTTTGTAGAGGTGAGTGTCTCCGGCAGAATTCGAATATAAGTGTGGCTTGGATAACAATAGCAATAGCAAGAAATCTAGATACACATGCTCAAATCACTAGAGTCAGCAAGACATCCGCGATCCTAAGTGTTCGTGGCAAGGGGACCGGGAATGATCAAAGCCCTGGTACATACATAGCCGATTGACCACGAATTCAGGCATGTCTGTGGTAATAATATCTTAAAAGGTTTACGGAGTTTCCGACAGAGTCTCTAGTATCTGTTGCCGATCCGCTGCGGGAATCCTCTATATCTTCCCCGGGAACCCATGCGGAATATGCCATGCCCGTATGCACTCCTGAAGACGAACAATCCCTCATATAACGTCGGCTTACCCGAACCTGCTGCACTTTACATTAACGGGGGTTCCCGGATAAGGTGTGCTCGTATTGCAACTCATGTACGGGTGTAACGCGGTGTTGGTTGTGTCACCTGTTCCTGGAAATTAAAAGTGGTAAGTGCAGTTTCACACAGCAACCACTCACTTCCTTGATCTAGGTTTGACGTCGATCGAGCCAATTATTATTACAGCTCTTAATTACGTTCTCAATGCTTACCCCCCCCCAGAATTGTAATTAAGCATAAAGTTTCCCGGCTGCTTTTCCTGCATTTTGGCAACAACCCCTTGGGATCGTCGGTCGTTAGTTCTGCACGTTGGGGTCGCGCACACGTAGGTAATGCTTGATACGCCTCATTGGCCTCTCATGGCGCAGGTACAACCCGGAGTTGGCGCTTGGTTGGTATCGAATATTAACATGCTACAAACAAAGGACAGTAGAACATTAGTTAGTGTTACCGGCTCGTATTGATTAGATGTAATGGTGGGGTAGTAATTTATCACTGCTTTTTATCCAAATAAGATCGCCTTTTATACATATACCTTCATTCTTTTTCCTCCTAAATCTAGACCTGGGGCTGAAGAAAGGGTGCCTACATACTGACAATCCCCCAATCTGGAGGAGATATAAAAACCCTTCTCCATCCTCCGCAATCGTCCCATCCTCCGCAATTGTCCCATCCTCCGCAGTCGTCCCATCCCCATCCTGTCTTTCAGCACTCCACTCGTTGTCCACTCCCACCTTCGTTGCAAAAGTGAAAAAACAAACACTCTTTTCCAGCCTAAAAAGAAAGAAAAATATGCACGCCTTTACCCCCCTCTTCGTCTCTCTGCTCCTCAGCAGCACTGCCATCGCCGCCTCCAATGTCGGCATCATGCCCCGCAGCATCCTCCTGAGTGGCCGTCAGCTCCAGTGCTCTGGTGCAAACCCAAACATCTGTGAGCAGACCGAGAACACGATCAAGTGTGGGCAGAACTGCTGTTCCGACGGAAGTATGTATCTCGCATCCATTCATTGTCTGTGTAGTTAAACATGCTGATATGTGTTCCGGGGAATAGCTAGCTGCGAATTTGGCTACAGCTGTGAATCTGGTGGAAGGTGCTGTGATATCACGTATGTTATAACGAAGTCTTGATAGATGCGAAGCATTATCGTATGCGGGTGCTGATGAAGTGTGGGTGTAACAGTAAACCACTCTCCCAGTGCGGTGTAGCAACACTCTGCTACGATGCGAGCGATTCTAAGTGTCCCGATAATGAGGCCTGCTGGTTCGTCTATTCCCCTTCCTTTTGTTTTCCGTGGTTGTTGTCGTCGGGGGTGCTATGTAGCTTGAAGTCCGATCCTATATGTTGTTCATGGCTAACGACACTCCAACTATAGTCCTAGCAGCGCCCCCTACTGCACCTACCAAGGTGGACGCGCAATCTGCGAGCTGAACCAAAGCTTCACCATCACCAACACACTCACGTCCACCTCCACCAATACCAACACCGTCACATCTACCCTCAGCTCCGTTGTGACCCCCAGCATTTCTGCCACAAAGAGCTCTGAATCTTCTTCTTCGTCTTCGATATCGTACACCACACCCCCTGCCTACAGCAGCTCTTCCACATCAACCATCCACCCGACCACTACGAGTGTCGGCAGCAACATCACTGCACCGAACTCCACTGTGTCCCAGCCACCTGTGTTTTCCGGTGGAGCAGCGGGTAGGGAGGGATTTTTGGGCGCGGGAGTGGTCGCCGTTGTGTTGGCTGTCGGTGGGGCTTTTATCTAAATCTAGCTACTCGACTATATGTACCTACTTGACTACATGTGGGCATAGATGGAGGGTTTAATACCTAGTTTGTGAAGGATTGGTTACGTATGGTACGGTTAATTTAATTTATAAGAAACTTTAAAGTCTATATACGGAAACGGAACTCAGCGTGGAAATAAATGTAGAAGGTGATGTAGTTGTATTGTATTGTTGCTAGGTGATCATGACTACATGTAGATACCACCTAGCCCAACCCTCCAAAATCCTCCCAAATAATCATTACCCCAAACGCCCTCCCTGGCCCCCCCAAATAAACCAAATAAAGGAAAAGAGGTTTATAACACAGCCCACACGGCCCTTCCCCACACCTAATACAACTCAACAGGTTACGTGCCCGGAAGACCCTACGCCCTCTCTTATCACCCATATCCACCAACCAATCCATCGCCATCTCGATTCGATCCGGTTCGTATAGCGAGCCTAGCTAGCGCAACGCAGTCATGGCTGATAGGATAGAAGGGAGAGGAAGGAATGCGGTGTCGGCCGGAACCGTATCCTATCGAATTGTATGAAGTATGTAGTGGAAGCGTTGTCAACTCATGTGATATGGAGAGGTGGAAAACAAAGGAGAGCTCGAAGGGTTTATATACCCACCTCCTGCTAGGATATAGAGCTAAGTGAAGCGGTTAGACGGTTGCGTGGTAATTGTGTGCCTAGGTGCCTCTCGCAGTGTATGGTAATGCGCACGGAATGGAGCCGTAGAATGTACTGATTAAAGAGTTCTACAACGAAGTAAAACATCCATACCGGTCTTTGATCTGATTGGACCGTGCGGCCGCGCTTCCTCTATTTGGACTACGTTAATTCATATAATCGAGTTTTTCGGGAACTTGTAGAACTCAAGTGGAGGGGAGAAATGCGTTCCGATTCACGTCATGGACTCTTTTGATAGATGACCCCCGCAAAGCCCCACCGTCAGCCAGCTGTCATCCTCCAATACCGATATAGAAGTCTGGTGATCTTTTCAGAATTCCCCCGCCGCACCAGAATCACGGCTAGCCGAAACGCCAATGGTCGGCGTCAGACCAAAGTTTTTGTTTCCGGGCGTTGAGTAAGTATCGCGTCATTGCGGGTAGAAAATCTAACATTGTAAGGCGGCCTTCCAAGATTAATCGTGGAGCGGGTTGGGTGCAGTCATGAATCATCAGTCGACTGGGCACTGGCGCTCCAAGAGCGGTAATAGGAAATGGAAATAGCTCCTGTGCGGAGGGAGTCAGATCTGAGCTGGTTTCTATACCACATCTCTTGCCAAGTCGACCGCGCGTCTCGAGCTTTGTTTCTGAATTCGTTATTGAAGCGCAAACAAGGACTGACTGGACGTCCTGCGGGGGGCGCAGGGTCTTGGGTGCCTGGGGACGGGAATAGGAAACGATAAACTAGAAGTGAGTACGTATCGGGTACAAGAACCGTGTAATTATCGCGGCTAAAGGGTGATATTTTTTGGTAGTGATCGCTTTTCTTCGCGGTAAAGAAGACTCCCTCCGGTTTGGCAGTATGAAGTCCTTTGTGTCTATATGTGGCCTTGGCAACCTTGCTAGCTGATCGAGTGATAATCTGTGAATAATAAATTTTGACTTCACTACTCCAAACCGCGAAGTGGGCTATTGGATGTGTGTCACATACGTAGTTTGTGGTATTTGGGGTAGTATAATCTTTGAAGTATGTATGCGGTATCTTTGAGGGTTCCACTACTAATGATTATAAGAGAAGGCTCAAGGAGCTAATCTCCTTATACATATACCCGCACTGATAATACGCTACACCATACATGCCATAGTATCATCTGTCGCATGCTAAGACTCTACTATAACGCTCATACTCCTCGCTGCGTTGTGTTACCATAATTTAACATTCCTTTTCACAACTCTGGAGATAAAGATACACGAGAAATTACTCTATGATCGATACGTTCCTTTAAGTACATGTACATACATAGCAGCAGTGGCCAACAACGGGTAGCCGGTAAACGGGTATATAAAGATTTGGTTACCAAATAAGTTATTGTCATAACACTCTCTGCCTCCCCGGGTGCTTTTCGCACTTCCACGAATCCTTCCTATGCCCATACTCGCCACAGGCAGAGCAGGTGAAATGCCCGAGCGACTTCCCTTCACTGCCACTCAGTTTGTTGTTGTGCATTCTCTGCCGTAACATCTTTGCCTTGAGTTCCAGCTCTTCCACAAATAGTTCATTCTTCGCTTCGGCGATTTCCGCGAGGCGTTTCTGCAAATTTTCGAGATCGGTATTATTCGAGGGCGGAGTTCTTGGATCTGGTGACGGGGAGCGTGACGGCGAAGGCGGTGGAGTCTGTTTATTCTTCCTTTTTGACTTTGTGCGTTCTAACTGTGGCGCTTTAGACATAGATCGTGCCTTATCTTGTTTCGGCTTCCTCCCGCGTGGTGCTGGGGGGGCTGGCTCTGGTTCTGATGGCCGTGACTTCTTCTTTTTCCGCTTTGGCTCCTCCGGGGTATCGCTGTCACTCAGCACAATAAGAGCCTGTGGTTTCTTTTTCTTTTTTACCCGTTGCTCCTCCGGGCTGTCGCTGTCACTGTCAATGGGAGCCTTTCGTCGTGGTTTTGATGGTCGTGCCTTCTTTTTCTTCCTCTGTATCGGCTCCTCTGGGGTATCACTGTCACTGTCACTGTCACTGTCACTGTCAACAGCAACTCCTCGCTCCCGTCCTGATGGCAGGATCATCTTCTTTTTCCGCCGAGGCTCCTCCGGGCTGTCGCTGTCATTATTAACAGGAGCTTTGCGTTGCGGTTGCGAGGGCAGTGATTTCTTCTTTTTCCGCCGTGGTTCCTCGGTTCGCTCCGGTTCCGATGGGAGTGGCTTCTTTTTCCTCTGTCGTGCCTCCTTCGGGGATTCGGTATCACTACTAACAACCGGAATTTTTCGTTCCTGCTCTGGTTGCGGTTCTGATTTTGGCACGGGGTCTAGCTTCTTCTTTTTAGTTTGTCGGGGACGTTCGGAATCGCTCACGCTGGTTTCAGAAACCTCTGGCTCTTGCTTCTTTCTCTTCCCTTGCCGTGGCAGAACTGGTTTTTCAATATTACTGTCGTCAGAAAACTTTGTTTTAACTCTAGATGCTCCGCCGTTGGCGGTACCGTTTTGGGTGAACCGGGGGTTTTGGGGAGTCGAGATCTTTCGGGGAAATGAGTTCTTTTTGGGGGTCGGTTTTTTTTTGGGTACCGAGTTCTTTTGCCGTGGCCCCCGAGGGGCTTCGAGATCGACTCCAGATGCCCCTCCAGTAAACAGCCCCCCACCGTTGACAATACCGTTTTGGGTGGGCAAGAGTTTCGGATTCTCTTGCTGTAGCTCCTCGGTGGTGTTTGTATCATTGTCGACGACAGGGGCGTTCTTCATAGCCCCGGATTCCTTACTTTTGGCGGTACTTTTTGCGGCGGATCCGCCATTAAAGAACGAGTGAATAGTTCTTACATCGCCCTGATTTTCTAACTCCAGTTGTAACGTCGAGGGAAGAGCAGTAGCATCCAGCAGCATTAAATGAATCTTCTTCAAAATTGTACGCCAGTTCTCCTCTTGAATACTTTCAGTACCAGAAGGTGTGCCGGGTGAGGACAACTGTAACCAAACCCAAGACGATGGCTTCCCGTCATGGGTTTTTAAATACACTTCTTCCAGGGGAAGAATATGGAAGAGTAGGCAAGCTCGGTCATTAGACGACCGTGGTGTGCAGTGTAGATACATGAACTTCCTCGTGATAGTTCCGCGAAGGTTTTTCTCGACGGATAGGTTCAGCGAAAATTCAAGACTAGACCACAATTCTTTCACTAGAGGGTATTTGTTAGGTGCGATATCAAGAGTCCAGAACGTTTTCACTACAGAGTGTATGTTTTTCGCCTTGATTGATCGAAGGTAAATTTTGGTGTGGTCGACCAAATTCTCTAATGCCGTTGCACCGGCCGTGGGAATGGGTCGGGGTACGGCAGGACTTTGTGCCGGATTAAATGATGCCTTATTGCTTTCTGCCCTCCACTCTCGCATATCGTAGTCTCGCCCTTGGCTGTATTGTGTACGATTGAGTCGCTCGGAATAGTGTAGGTTTCGCGGTGTGATAGGGTTTTGCGCAGAATTATCCCGTACTTGGGCGTATGCTGCTGCCCCATACTGTCGCGTCTCATAGCGCCGCACCTCAAGGCGAGGAAAACGACTTTCTCGCGACGGATGTACAAGATTGTCCTTTTCCTGGTAGTTTTGGTGGTTCCGATTCATTTCCGGGGTAGAAAAGTTGCCTCGCGGGGTGGCGGTCTGGTGAGGTCGATAGTGGTCTGGATAACTAGCGGGCGCCTGAGGACCGTGATCATGATCACGGTCCATATCGTGATTCTCCGCCTGCGGGGCTCTGGCTCAGAGGGCAAAGTGGGAGGTAAAGAAGGGGAGTGAATCTTCGTCAAGAGGTGGCAGAAACTTTCTCGGTTGTAATTGTTGGTGTTACCGCCAAGATTCGCGATCACGTGGTGCCAAGAATAGATATATGTCTCGATCACGGAGTATCACTCGGTAAATACCATTATAGTATGGTGTTCTTTTATGAGGAGACTTAAGCCAAGTGGTGTAGTTCGTGTCTCTACTATCCCAACTAAACGATTAAAGTTCTTCGAGAGCTCATTCGTACTCCGGTAATGACATTGGGAGGCTCGAGCCTTTAGAACTGGTATTCATTAAATTGCTCTAGAATTCTTGTTTTGCGGAGTATTTGGTTCGTATGCGTGGGTGTTTTATGTACTTATAGCGGTTACTTGAGAATGACGCTCTAAAGATGGCTACTTCTTTACACTGCATCTTACTCGACGATGTGTTTTGAAGAGGGGGGTATTAATGGAGGTTCCGCGTCAACTTGCGCGTCCCTTCATTCATTCTCGCTACAGTGAAAACTAATTTGTTCGGGCAATTCCAGTTGTAGTCTATTTAACCCTTACTAACCCGCGGACCTCTTTGCCTAATGTTACGTTCGCCACCTATTCTCGAGCAGCTCTTACTAGCTTTAGAAGGGATTGTTCTTTTCTGGCAGTGTTACAAACCCAATAACAGCTACTTTGACGTTTATCCATAGGCTTTCGCTGAACCTACTCTTGTGAAAACCAGGAGCGAACGAAGGGATGTGAGATACATGTGGTTGCATGCAGGTACCGCCAAGTCTTCGTGTAGGATTTTATATGTGATACGGTAGTACTATTCAATACTAGCATATCTGGGCTAGCTCGAGTGACACACTGTGATTTCCGTCTTAAGGAAATCTGGTGAGCTGTTTTTCCTCTCTCCGTGGGCTAATAAAGCTTGAGACTACGGTCAAGGGTTTTTGTCCAGTGAAAGTATAGTCGAGTATGAGTAAAACTTCGAATACAGATGAAGAGAAGCCGCAGCGGTAAATACAGGTACTCATCCGTATATTTCCGGAGAAGGGATTGAACTTTGATAATAAAGAAGGAACGTCGCGTAAACAAAACAAAACGAAAGAAGGAACAAACAGGAGATACAGATGGATTTTATGTCGGCATAAGGGCAAGATCCGACCTGGTTTGTCTTCAATTCGTAAGAAATGAGACGCACTGGAAGTTTCTTTAGGGTTGCATACATGTATATGTGGATGTGCGTTATTTATCTCTTTTGTCAAGACTTGACGAATATACTTGATGGAAGTAAGAGAAATAAGTGGAGAAATACGTGTTCTGACGTCGGGGAAAAATTGTTTTTATAGTTTGATAGCTCCCTGGTCGCGTTTGACTTGAGGAGGAAAGGCAGGGCCACCACTGCCTTTGTTTCCGAGATTAAAATTCGTTATAGCCAAATGCCAAGATTCTACGAGCCTGCAGTGGTAAGCCACGCTTTTGAATGGTAGAACGTGTCCTAGAACCAAATCCACACCTTACATACCTTCTACACCTTCCAAGTCTTCCACACCTCACACCTCTTCGAAATCTGACACATCTTCATTAATTCCCATCACAAACATCGTTTACCCATCAACAGAATGGGAAGTTCAAAACCTCTACGAGCTTCTACTATGGGAAAAAGAAGAAATCTAAGAGCGAGCTCTAATTCCCCTCCACCACCTGCCACTATTGGCCGTTCAAGTTCAACACGGGCCCTTCACGCCAAGATAACCAGGTCGACCAGAGGTATTGGAGAGCCATCCACGCCTGTAAATGGACCTTCTAGTTTAATGATGACTGGTACAAAATCTCACACTGCTCAGCGAAACTATACTTTCGAAGAAAAGAAATGGATATTTGAGCAAGCAGAAAGAGTTATTAGCGGTGATCGTACCTGGGAAGATGTTACTGCTGATTTCAACGCCACTTACAATAGAACGAAAGAAGCTAGGATGATCAAAAGTTATTATACGCTTCAACAACGTGAAATTAAGCATGGAAGAGGCGTGGATCCACGAGGAATTAATGGCCAGAATTCCATAGAGATACCAGCATTGAAGAAGACAGCTCGACGTAAGCTTGTCTTTGTCGATCCTGCGGAATCGGATGATCGCGATGAGCTTGGTCCAGACATTACTCCCAAGGGTAAAGGAACGCTTCCCGGCCCTATAAAATCAGATGCTGCTAGAACAATAGCTTCAAAAAGTGTCTCAGAGGGTAGAGGACGGCCCCGGAGCGCATCTGATGCTGTATCTTCGGGCCCAGAGTGGGTATATGAGTCCGGAGCTCATAAAAGAAAGAGAACAGGTATTTTTGCGTCACGCACACGTACGATTTACTTCCCGATATTTGATTGTACTTAGTTACTGACAAATTCTTAGTTTCACCAGAGGAGACAGCCGTGAAGACTAGGATTTCTGCCCAGAAACCTGGAATAATTCTGCGACCAAGGGGGGATTCGAAAAACCAGGTGTTAAAAAACTCGAAATTAGTAGCAAAGCCTAAAAAAGCTGCGAAACCGGTTAAAGAAAGCGATGATGAGGATGAAAGCAATGTCGAGGATGACTGGGTGGAAGCTGCCGAGTCTGAAGATGAGGACAGCGACGATGCTGAGATTGCTGATCTTGAGGGCTACCAAGAGTGTAAGTCAACTTAATCTTGCTCGTTAAAGAAGAGAGCACACTACCATAGGATGTTACTTCCCTAACGGATACTTGCTTTTCTTCCACTAACATGAGTAGCAACCGCGAGCGTGGAGACTGGGATTGATAGTGAGAAAAGCCAAAGGGAGGAAGAGGAGGCGCAACAAGCCCCGGGTAAAAAGAATGAAGATGATAAGCAGGAGGAGGTAGCGGATTCAGTTAGCGACGAAAAAGCTATTGGAATTGAGCAGCTTCCATTCATAGAGGAGCTAGATATCTCCGCCAACGAAAACAGTGCCATTGGCGAGATCGACAACCAGGAAAGCCCGGAGAATGAAGGAGGAAATAGTACTTTTGAGGAGAGTGCCAATACATCAGCTACCCGTGTAAGGGAGGTTATCGACCTGAGGAATGATGCCGATAGTAACAGTGAACTATCAAAAGTTGAGTCTCCCAACGAGGAGATACATGGTAAATCTGTTGCCTTAAAATCCGTTACCTTAAAATCCGTTCTGGATAGAGAAGATGAGAAAGACGATGAAAGCGAAGGGGACGTTGAAGATGACAAAGACGACGATTATGAAGAAGCTACTGAAATGGGATTCGTCACTCCCATCCCTATAAACTTCGGGCAGGATCTCACCACACCTTCTATTTCGTCTTCCGTACGCAAAACAACCAACGAAATCAAACCATTATCTTCAATTAACTTAAATCAAATTGATCTTGAACACAGCAGCCTACCTCTTCCAGGTCAAGACGAGATGGAAAAAGATTCAGTTAGTTGTGCTGATGCCGCTTCCCAAGCGGATGCACAGAAACAAATCCAGGAAAATCTCGGAAAAGAAAGTGCTCCAGTGAAGCATTTTGATATTGTGTATCAAGATGTTGTTCAAGCAACTGGTATTGACAATTCCATCGCTCGCCAAGTCCTCGCACCCCCATCTACCGACAAGGATAATGAAATTCAAGCTCCTGTCTCTCCTGAAAAACCACATCTTGCAAATAGCTTAACTGGTCGTAGAAAACTCTTGAAAGGGAATTCTACCCATGAGGAGCTCGGCAAGGCCAAGACAGGGTCAGTTGCAGAACTGGCAGCTGGAAGGGGTAGAGCGAAAAAGGGTCTCACATCACCGAAAAAACTTGCCTCTACGAACACTCCCGGCACTGCCGTCCATGGCGGGGTCGTGAGTGGAGCCCGAGAGGGTTTTAGTGTGGCGGAACCCTCGGGCGAGATTATTTGTGAGTAAATTAATTGCCTTTTGTTTTATGAATACTGACATCATGAAGCATTGAGACCACATGAAGCACAGTCTTCTAAACCGCGACTGGAGACGGAAGAATTACTTGATATTTCTCCAAGAAGCTCAGTTGGATCTTTAATGACTTTCGCTCATGCGAGAAGGAGTATTGGGAGTTCCAATTCCCTTAAGGATCTGGGGAAAGATATGGAGCACAGTAGGGATAGGGAAGGGGTTGCTGGTATCGATCACAACGTTCGAGAATCTGGTAAGCCCTATCATCGCCTTAGTTTAGAGAGGTATAAAACGCTTAGGGTTGGACCTTTGATACGCGCTACTCTTTCTAATATGAACTTTACTTACGTGAATGAAGACACAGAGGTCATTAGTAATACCAACGAAGAGAAGACACAGAGCATCCTTGACGAAGGAATGTTCCAAACGCTCGGAGCGGTTCCTAACTTAAAGAAGAATACGAAAAGGGCCATCCCTCAAGCTTTGGAATTATCTATCGAAACCGCGCAGTTACCTATCAAAAGGGTAAGGTTGGCTCACGCCAAGAACGAAAACACTATTGATCGAGCTGGAGCTGCAACTATATGTGGAGTTTCGGTTGGGCCGATAGTAGTCGCCGCACCCGCCGATATCTCTCCTCCATCTAAAACTCAAGTTATGTTTGCTAAAAATGAGGGAGGGATTCGTCGTATTTATGTCGATCGCGGTGCTATTGGTACAAGCGTTCCCTCCGCTATTCCAGGTCCCATAACATGGAGGAGGATATATGAGGAACGGTAAATTAACCCCACCATGCATTTTTTGGTCTTGGAGTTTATCCGCTGAACGAATTCTCTCTTAGCGCGAGTCTTCTTGACCGAGTCCTCACTACTGAGTTTCGAGAACTTGTGGAAGCCTTGAAAGAAGGGAAAAGTGATAGACGTCTGTATATCTATACCTGCTCACAATCCGCCATTGAGTGGGTTACAGTTCACCATCTCAAGGCTAGAAAGACACAGTGGAGAACTCAATGGGGAATTCAGGTCCCACCACGTGACCAGGCCTTGATCGAGGAGGCTGTTAAATTGCTCGAGGAGCGAAAGAATAGCGGGAAAGAAACCGAGTTCAAGCGTGTTTGGGGTGGACAAAAGGTTTATGAGGGCCTGATTTTAGAGGCGCAAAGGGAATATCTTGAGGCCCATGGTCAAGCTTCGTCTGGAACCAACTCTTGATTACTTAACCCATAGTCTTCTACAGTGCTATCTATATCTGATGTTGGTCGGGGAAGACTATTATACGGATACATAAGCGAACTACCGATGATGGATACACTTCAATTCTCTTGTGCAAAGTTTAAAATTGTCAGAAGTACTATAGCTAAAGTCCTTATCTAACTATGTACAAATCTTGTCATTTCAACAGATTTGATTAACTAAATCCTCTTTCATCGTACTCATAATCTGAGGGGGCGAACTACATGTATACGGCATTCTCATTTTCTACTTAAGTAGCTCAAACAAAATAAGAAATACGAGATCAGGGGTTTCCCACTATTAATTATGATCGAATTGCAATCCGACTATAAGATGCGACAAGTTAGATCGAAATAAAATCTTGCATGGCATATATCCTAATAGGAAATATGAAAGGTATGTAGATGATACAACGATCCAGTTGAAGGAAAATGTTCGCCGGTGGAAAAGAGATATAGAGTCTCCTTTCCCTATAGGCTTGAAGATCTTGCAGAGTATTTTGATACCCTACCCATCCACAGATGGGTTTATTCTTTTCCTTTTTCTATACTCAATGTCTTCTCGGTAGTTTGGTAGAAGCGGCGTGTGAGTTACGCAGTCCCTTTTCGCGGACATTCCCCGGCCTAGCTTTACTACTATGTTTTTTTATATTCTAATTTCTCGTTATCACATTGAAACAACCGGTCACACTTTACTTGGACAGAAGTGTATGAATCTACTTGATCCATACATGTAGTTACGGATTATAGTAGGCCGTATTATGATGTTTAGCTAGGTATGTATATATCAGGGACAAATGCCAAACAAGTAGAATATCGCCCAAGCAGAAATGTACAAATCATAGCAATGCAGCTTAAAGTCCTTCATAGAATTATCAGCTCCATATACATATACTAGTCGGAAAAACTCGACTGTTTCAGTAAGGTTGTCGACCGATCATTGACCTGTGGTGCAAACTTACCGGATTGGGTTAGTATAGAATACCGGAGGGAATCACACCGCTGAGAATACATGTAACGATGCAGAGAAGAGTACGTTGGACCCCGCGACTACTATATGTACTTTATATCAATCTTTTCGCTTCGATTCTTCCTATTCGTGAGTAGCTATAGGTGCGGTTCTAAAATATTGTTATGGGTTGCGTGCTGGTGTCGCCCTAGCGAGTGCTTAACCACTTAACAACAAAAATTCAAAAGCGACCCATGTCACGAGGTACATGTGTCCGATAATTTGTTCTGCTGGGTCATCATTCTATAGGAAGAGATAGATTAAGTATAGCGGAGGGGCCTGGTAACTTCATGTTGGCATTTCGATCCTGTTTAAATATGGCATCCACCACGAGAACAACGCGCGCGATATCTCGTAGTACCTGGAGTCGTGTATCCTAGCTGTAAGATGACTACATGTAGGAAGTTGTAATATTAGGCTGGAAGTTGGATGATATATAACGTATATCACGGCGAAGTCGGATATAACCCTGAAGCCGGATGTCTCAGATTACTCATGTTGTCTCACTTTACTACATGTAGCACTGGCAAATAGTTACAGAGTACGAGTGAATGAAGAACTGAAATTAAGCAATATAGCAGTCAAAAGAAGAAGTTGTTAATACAATAGGTAAGTCATCTTTTCCAATTCTTCTACCCCAACAGTACAACAATGTCCAAATCACTCCCTTTCACCACTGGCAGCGGGTCCAAACCAAAAATCAGTTGAAGCACGAGAAATGACAAATGTAGATAATAATAAGAATAGGAGCCTAGTAGGGAGTTTAATTTATTATGTTAGAATAGATAATTGCGGATAAAGTAAGGTCTCAGGCTTACCTAGTAGGTACAGAACTCTCTGTTGAACTCGTTGGTCAAAAATATTTAAAGCATGTCAAGGTTCTTTTTAGGTCTTGCAGGCTGTCTCCTGGTTGGCACACTCCGAGTCCTTTGCTTTGTACCATCTCCCGCCTCCTCTTTCTTCTTAGCTAATAATTTATCTTTCAAGGCATTAGAGGACATTTCCTTCTTTTCTAAAGCGTTCTTGAGCCTTATTATTTCCGCTCCAGTAATGACTTGAGCTTTGGATAAAACCCGCCTGTCTGCCCTAATAGCTCTTTTACCTTCATATTTTACCCTCAGATCCCGGAGTTGAATTTTGGCTATGTCCGCTTGTGTGAGTGTCTCCTCAGCTAAGTGCAAAAGGCGAAGAATGATCGCTGAATAATCGGTCGGATTGAGAATTGGTTTTGACTCCGCTGGTCCAATCTTTAGATGCGCTTCTGGATTAAGGGCAAATTGTGTCTGCTGGCGCAATTCCCGTCGGTTTTTTGGAGTTGAGAGTTGCTTCTGAAGTAAAACAGTTGAGCCCACAGGTATAGCAGTAAGTTGATTTGGTTTCACTTTGGTCAACACATTATCTGGATTCAGCGGAAAGATGCCCGTGGCGTGGAAAGATGCTTGGATTGTCTGCTTGGTAAAGGCTTTGGCTCTTGCCTCTGTGAAAAAAGACCAAAATGTTCCCTTTGTGATGCCTGTTCGGGTTTCTCTTATGTGGTTGTCCGCCGCTTTTCCGTAGTAGTGCTGAAGAGGACCAAATAATCCGACATCGAGTGGTTGTAAGAGGTGCGTTGAGTGTGCGGGAAGACAGATTAAATAAATATTATGAGATAGCGCATATGAACAAAATTCATATGTTAAGTGTGATCCATGACCGTCCATAACCAGTAGTCGAGGTCGTGTCCCACTGATTTTTGAAGAATACACATCAAAATGTTCTCGTAGCCATCTCAGTCCCATATTGTTGTCAGTCCAGCCGTTGTTACTATATGCAAATACAGCATTCGCGTCATTCGTCTCTTGGTGCCAGCCCATGTAGTGGCCCTTCCCTTTGTATATTACCCAAGGTGGTAAAACGAGTCCACCAACAGAAACCGTTTCCACGACAGTAATTAATTCTCTTGATGCATCTTGTGCGACATTGGGATTTCGTCTACCGGATCGACAAATTACTTTTGCCTTTGCCGAATATCCAAGAATGAAACCCTTTTCGTCAAAGTTATAAATATCGTCACTAGGCCGAAGTCCCAAGGGGATTAAGCGACGTACAAGCCGGCTAAGTTTATTGAAATAATTGCGCAGGGTGACAGGATTGCTCGCATTTTGTCTCTGTCGGTCTAGCTGGGTACTATATTTGGATGCCAAATCAGGGTGTCGGTCTAAAAATCGAGAGACCCAGTTTCGGCCAATAATAGCCGCAGTAGGATCAAGCTTGTCCTCTTCTGCAATATTCTGCGCTAAGGCTGATGCCATACCCCGCAAAAGATCCACCCTAGGAGGAAAACCCGCATCATCCATATCTTGAATCCATTTCTTAAGTGACTTCTCAATAACCGGTGACAACTTTTGCTGGCTCTGATGAGCTTCCTGGCGATTCTTTCTGCCATTGAACCGATCGTTGAGGGTGGAAGCGGGTATGCCGAACTCCAAAGATAGGACAGACCACGGAACCTTTGGTATTTCAGCCTTCTTGACTAGGGCACGATGAATTCGATCTTCCCTTTCTTTGCTGGAAAGGGCACCAGCGTGTTGCTTCACCTTCCCCATAACTGCTGTGGATGCGGAGATACAGCACTTTGAACTTGCAAACGATGAAATTTGAGGTGTATCTTAGTCATCCGGTTTCACAGCTATATCCGACTTCCCAGTGATGTACGTTACTGGCCTATGAGAACTACTGCGTAGATCTATGAATTTGAATATCCCTCTTCCTATATGCAGGTAGCATTATGTCCCACTAGACATCGATGGGGATTAATTCGGCAGCTATGTGCGTTTGGGGTCAACTTGCCTGGTCCTTTAATTTTCTTCAGATGTTCCGGCACACGTCATGAGATGTATAAAAATTTGCAAGCTGCATGTGTTTTTGGTTGAGAAATTGTGTTCCCCGTCATTCCCGACAATCATGCATGGATATCCTTGTTAATGTAATTTCAATTGTACTAAAAGGCGCAGAATAGCCATCGAGGAAGGAACGTATGTCGAACCACCGTACAGGTGGGAGTGAGTACTGAGGCCACCACCGATATCGCAGTCAGGCAGATCAAATGCTAAAATTAAAAAAGGCCACGATCATTGATTAAACTGTTATCAATGAACTGGTGCGTGCATACATGTAGTTTAGGACTTACGAGATTGAGAACAGTTTTCGCTATTCGATGAACTGCTGAATTCGCCCCAGTGGCGCCATGGTAGAATAGTATAGTCACTTTCATCAACTATGTCTACAAACTCCGAAGACCCTAATTCAGCTTCTTCAAACTTAGTCCAGGCCAGAAGGAATAATCCGGACCCTCTAATACTCAATTGTATTCAGCCCGGAATATCTGTTATCTCATCTTCTATTAGCTCTCCTACGGATGGTCTTTCAATCGAGGATACACTACCTCAGAATGATGACCCGAACCTGCAACTGGTACGTAAATACTCTAAAAACAAATTCCCGTAATTAAGGGAAGAAAGCAGTACATAATTGCTTATCAGAGACTAATTTGAACGGGTAGTTAAATCAGCCAAGTTATGAAAGCAATCCTATGGAAAGGGACATGGCGGGTAGGGATCTGGCTGCAATTCACCTCGAAAGGCCTGCATCAATCAATATGGTTACCTCTGCGTATTCCGCGGGCGATTATAACGATTATAACGAGAGAGGGTCAGCTTTGAATTGAATAGTATGGTGGAATGTCATGAGTTGAACTAACGCCGAGATTAGATTCTTTCCACCAACAGGGCAAGATAGTGGAGAGCTAAAGCGAGTTGAAGGGGTACTCGCTTCGGCCTCTGATGCACGCCACATCATAATCAATACAGACTCGGAATATATCCTCAGATGTGTTAAAAATTGGCGTCCGCTCTGGGAACGCTATGGCTTCGTTGATGGGGAGGGAAATTCCATCGCCGATTATGAAGTGATCAAAAGCATCCTCAACATTATCGATAGGAGGACGCTGAATAACAAGCGAACAACTTTTAAATATATTGAAGGAATAAGCGAAGATTTATGCTTTATTCCTCCGATACGGCCGGCTAACGAAGCAGCTCAGTGGATTGGGTGGGTCGAATAGGTATAGGATCTTAATTTTGTAGTAATACGTTCCGGGCCGGTATGAGACGTATAACTGGATAGGGTACGTTTGGACAAAGATTTCTGAAGAGGGAGAGGTTGTCTTGGAGAGAAATTGCAGCTATGGGCTTTCAATAATAGAGTGCTTGATTATACGTTTGGAACGTTATCCTTGTCGACATAGTCGCTTTTAGGGTTCCTCCTCACAAATCCAATAGATCGATCTTATTACCGAACCAATCTCTGAGCCGGTGGCGCTGGCTGAAATCCGATACGAGAGTCTGAGCTTTTCATTCAATAAATACATGCGGCTATGTAGTTTCTGAATAAAGCTCATATCATCATTCCCATTTTATTCGTAAAGTATCGAAACCCCTGAAGCGTTGTTCGTATATAGATATCACAAGGGAAGCGCTTTAAACCTATATACATGTAGTTTTCGGGTTGTTTTAGTAGTAGAATGCCAGAGGGGGTATTGGCCAATTTAGCTGGTACAATCGATCAACGAACTATTTCCTATGACAAGTGCAAATATATGTGATTGTTATTGTTAACTGGGGCAGAGAATGAGGAAATACTTGAACAATGAATATCTAAATGAAAACAGTTGCTGTTTTCTAACCTTTACCATATGAGAAGGATTGTAAAAGAGCGCACAAATAGTTGATAAATAAGATAATAGTTGTTCTTACCGGTAATTATCAGTGTGCATAGAAATTAAACTTTGGAAAAGCCGTCTTGTTACACTCATACTAACGGTACCTAGGGTTCGGTCAATGTTAACCCCTGAGACTCGGATATAATAGTGTGAAAGTTGAACGTGAGGAATTTATGGTCTGATATTTTACTGCCCAGCTACCCCGCATCCTATAAGACAGTCTGAACCACACAAATACCTTCTCTTCCTCTATTCATCCCTCATACTCCTTCCAATCATCACGTTCGTTAAGAAATACTCCAAAAACCTTCCTTTAGACATCTTCTCATAACATTCCATCATTATTTCTCTCCTCATCTGTCCCGAGTTTTAATTGATCACATCCCTTTACATCTATCATCCCTGATAGAAGTTGATCTACCTTCAATTGAATCATCTCAATTGTTTCAATTGAGTCTCTCTCATCTCGAAAATAGTTAATCCGTTTTCAATTCAACTATCTTAACTCAACTTTCCCTTATAAACCCTATCCTCGTCGATACTATGTATAGAAAAACCACATTTCCCCCACGCTCCGCTCCGAAAGTCAGTATAAGGAATTCTACTCCTAATCCTGGCTCTGAATTTTTGCTAAGATGAATTGTTAGTACCACTTCACCAACCATGTCAATCCTTTGAAAAAGGAGTGGATTGTGTATGCCCAAACTCACATTACCGATGCGGCTAAGCAGGCAGTAAGTTTCACCTTACTCCTTATAATAGCAGAAATTAAAATAAATAAAAAGCTAATAAACTTACTAGCAGTGGATTGCCCCAGACCAGTGGAAAGAGTACCTCAACGAGGTCTTCGACTACTTTGGTACTGGAGAGCCCGAATCTAACGATAACTATCCTCTGAGGGCATATAAAAATACTACTTCTTTTACCGCCGATGGCTTTCCTATTATGACTACCAGCCTCCTCAGCGAAAAGGATGTTATTGAACAGATTGCCAAGCGTCAAGATTTCAACAATTGGAAGATCCGAAAAGCTCTTAGAATTCCCTCGAAACACGAAAAGAAGACCGAGCAATATTCTCAAGAAACCACCGAGGCTATCATTGAGTATTCGCAGGCTGTCAAAACCACCATATTTACTATGGGAGGCAAGAACTTGGAACGTTTTACTGCGCTCGGAATGCCTGGTGTGCCCCAGGGGGTGCACATCAAGGTATTTGCCTGCTTAAACGCTTTCTTAGCAGCCAGGTCATCTGACACTTTCAAGGCTAAGTCCGAGACTGAGACTAGAGATGACAGCGAAGATAAATTCTTCGTCCGTCCTGAGCCGGCGATGCATGAGCAGTGCTATCATAATGGTCAAGATAAATACCAGAATCAGCGTTGCTATGAGCGCAAGCGTTAAGTGTCGTCATTTTGATGCGTCGAGCATCGATTAGGACCTTTCTGAAAAAGAAAGTTGGAGGATAAAATGACGTGACGACATTTCTTTGCTTTCTTACTTTCATTGACTTTTCTTCTTTCTTTCTTTTGATTTTCTCATTCTAATTTCCTTTTTCTTTTGCTTGATAATTTATCGTATGAATATGCTGAAATGGTATGGATACGTATGGAGCTTGATAGGATTGTTGATATCTTCTTGATTTGTTTCTTTAATGCGTGGCAGAAATGACATGATGGCGCTTGATGAGATTGTTAATATTTTCTTAAATTTGTTTTCTTGCGTAGCAAGAATGATGGGACGGTGTTTCTTACATTTCGCTAGAGTTATAGGATATTTCAACGAACACTGGGGGGTCGATTCCTGAGATGAGTCGTGGATTGATATGTTTGCATAGGAAGCGGAGTTACTAAGGAGGACTTGCTGTTACTAAAAGTACCGGGTTGATATTTCGTTTCTTTCTTTTATTTCCTTGCTAGAAATAATGAAAAATTTCCGTGCTGTTAACTGTTGACTAAGTTCTTTTTGTCGGCGTAAATAATTAATGGATCTGCTGAGCTTAATTACGAATCAAATTTGTGGTTTGATTCAATCATGACCTGTATCCTTGAGTGAAGACACAGGCCGCATGAGTTTGCAAAATATGGTGGATGAAAACCGTCCTTCTCGTAGTACCGGAGTAGCGAATCGCGGTCCTTACTTTTCTTTCTTCAATGAAGCTCCGGTAGCGGGTTTAGGCGGGAGACAGATGCGTGCATAGTGATGTATGGGACTACATCTGCCCTTAAGTTGAACTGCTTCGTTGTTGCACCTCTTCAATTTGAGTACTTGTGGTAGCGCTAGGTGTTGCCTTCGTATCTTGGCACGTATCCCCTGCAGACAGAGCTGTTTCTCCCAGCAACGGCAACAACCAATACGACACCCCTCAGAGCTCTCGTCTTTCGTAGTAAGCTCCACTACTGTAGTTTTAAAAACGAAGCTTGCCATTTTTTTACCCGGCAGCACAAGAAGGATCAATCATAAAATATCACTCGACAGAATTGCCGTTTACAATCTTGTCCTCCGAGTGTATATACCATCGATGACGCAGAGTCTCGACAGGACTTGTCCAGGCTTATAAAATGAAGAATAGGGGGACTACACGCTTCGTGGGAAGTGATACATTATCCCAGTAGATTCGGGGGGCAAATTTGGTGAGTAAATCATGGCGTATGAGAGAGACGTAAGGCGATAACAATCAGAACTCCTTGTGAGGATGTAGAAAATATCGATCAACCTCCGGCCGACATTTGCGGTGCTAAACATGTGGCCCGTTCAATTTCTTCCCAAATTGCACGACTACGTCTACTCTGGGGAGTTCTCGCGGCCTGGAGAGACGGATAATATGGTTTGATGAGTATGGTTGGAGGCTAAGTACGCTTTCATTACCGCTCTCCTTGTTTTGTCTCTTGCTGATTCGTGTTTATCTCCAAGTTACTGTGCTGTCTTGCGTATTCGGCTTCTTCGCTATATATGTGTACACATTCATCTACACAGACCCTATATCAACTCTATACAGGGGGGCGTGCCACAGAGATTTTTATATACGGTATTCTAATTTGAGAGGACGTCACTACTAGGCCTCCCAGCATGTTACTCGTTCAATAGTTGTACCTTAGACTGCAGGACCTCCGGACGATGCTACAGAAGGTTATTTGAGTCCACACCATAAGTCGTGATCTTATCTCGACCCAGATGAAGAGTGGAGCTTGGTATTGCAAGAATACGGGGGTGGAGATATAAGGGGTTGCTCATACACCGGTTACTATCGGGGCTATCCATAGGGAGTATGGAAGGTCTAAATGTAAATACACAGAACGCAAAAAGGAATTTCGGGTGTGATGATGATATAGTGCGGTGCATCTAACATTAAATTCTCATCTCCTTAAAAAGTGTATAGTTGCCTGGGAATCAGGCTTTCAAGTACATGGAGCAGGATAAAACACATTTGGATTAATTATAGAAAGAAACATTAATGGGCATGACTGCTGAAACAACTCACTGCCACAGCTTACAAAACCTAAACGACGTCTGCACCAACACAGCCATGCCGTTGACTACTCCCTGCAACTCCCTTCCATCACCGCCGGCAACCCCGCACGCGCCTCCCTCTTCTCCCCGCGCAACACCCACAACCTCGTCTCCACCTCCGCCGCAATCCTCTGCATCTCCCTCACCAACTCCCCCTCAACATCCTCCCCCCGCTGCAGCAACAACAAATCATATGCCCTCTTCGCATCCGTCACCCCCTCGACCGGCAGCAGCCCCAAACACAGCCGATAATGATGCTCTACAAGCCTCACCACCGCCCTCGCTGCCACACTCAGCTCCTTCGCCGTCTCCATCATCAACCTCACCGCATCCAGCGGGCGAAATGGATCAAAGCACATAATATACCGCTCCACCTTCCGCCCCCAGTCGTCCATGTTATTCTGGATCGACTGAAGCAGCACATTATGGAACTCCTGCTGCAGCCCCGCCTCCTCCAGCCTACTCATACTCCTGCTCGCCGGCACGTACGGCGGTTCATACATCATTCGATGATCAATCCTATTCCCCAACCGCTCGCCAAAGATCTCCACCGAGCTCTCCCCACAGATGGTGAACAGCTTATCGTAGCTCGGCGTATCACAGATCGCCCAGTCCTTCGCCATCTTGCGCTGTCCCAGGTCATACACCGAGATATTGTAGTGTGTCATTGTCGCGAACTCACGCGCGACGGTGAGTGCACGCTCGGCCATGGCGTACATGTTGTTCTTCTGTGTAATTTTCGCGCGGCGCGAGTCGAGGGAGGTGGCGGTGACGGTGTCGATGAAGTGGCTGTAGAAATGGCCGGTCTGGCGGCAGAGGATCCACATTTCGACCACCGAGGGGGGCGTGAGGGAGAGGTTGATGGAGAGCGGGGTGGAGATGGAGGGCGTGATGCTGTTTTGGCGCACCAGCGGTGAGCGCGGCTGGGCAGGGGACTGCGGGTGCGGTGAGGATGGGGAGGAGGGAGTGGGGGAGTGCTGGGCGAGGTGGAGGACTGTGTTGGTGCTGGAGGAGCGGACGCGCTGGTGGTGGTGGTTGGGGGGGACTTGGATCGGGGGTGGTCTTTTGCGAGGCATTTTTGAGGGGTTAATATAGCGGACTCGATGAAGTGGAGAATGTGAGGCGATGGTGAGTACTCGAGTGATTATGAATGTGGGGCGTTGTTATATGATAAGAAGATTGTGTAGACCCAGACAACAACCAAATAGAACATCACGCCAAGTGCGGCCGAGTGGATGGCCCGCGTACTATTTTTTGATTCGAGGTTTAAGTTTTGTGTTCCAGTGTAGCTACAGTGAGTTACGCAAAAAAAAGAAGAAAAAAAAAATGTATACCTGCAGAAAGACCATGCCTACCTCCGGTATTCGTATGGGTATTTACGGCACTGTGCTCTTTTACTCCTACATGTCCTCTTCTATGGCACGTATCTTCTGACCACCTGAGATTGCTGTCAATCAATATTTCTTGCGTTTTTCAGAAACAAACTCTCCCTGGTACGCGTGATAATATGTTTTAGCAGTCCTCAACAAGTGCTATTCCTCACGGAAGTCAACTTCGGCTCTCTAGAGCCCCCTTACGTACTATACAGTCCCGAAATTGATTTGATTCCAAGCATTCATTCTCAACAACAACTATAATAACTTTGAAAACTTTAGTGTACTGGAAAAGTGCGTTGTTCACGACAATATCATATGGCATCACTAGTTGTGCCCAATCATAAAGTATCACTCGATGCCAAGACATTCATAGATCCTCATGTAGGGGGAGAACCAGTCGGAACGAAGAGGACAAAACAAAGGAAACTTTTATCATATATTGTCTCAAGCTTAGCGAGATGCATGTTATCTCCGCACTCAGTCTTCGGTGTTTGCTGATGGACGCACCGCAATCTACAAACATTTGAAAACATCAAAGATTAATATACGTTTTGTATGACTATTCCTACAACATCAATGAATCAGAAGATTATGATCGGCACTTGATGATGATTGAGCGTCTAACCCTCTTGCTGGCGCATAAGAGATGGTCAATTCAGCGAACTGACCTAGCTCCCATCGTGAAGTAGCCCACATTTATGGTGACTCTTGGCTCTATGGACTCGGGTGTATCCACGTCCGCCTGCGACACAGGAACACCATAATCATTTTCTTCGAGTTCAGGGTGTGACTCTACAGCCTCAGGTTCTCCGAGTATTCTCCTCAGCGTAACCCTATGATTCCATAAAATACCCCGCTGGTCCTCTTCTGGCGGTTGTACGGCGGCGAGTGTCGCTAGAATGGCTTCTGGAGTTTGTGGAGGGATATTTGTTGTTCCTGCCTGCCCCCAGGCGGGTTGCTCGGGCGGTTATATATTTCGAAATGAAACGATCTTTCAGTATCAAGGCGCATTACCACTGTAACTTCTCTGGCCCCGTTCACGAAATAATCTTTGATACGCAAAAAGCATCGGCGAGGTGATCCCAGATCTGGATGTTCTGCTCTGATATTTCTCCTCCGATAACGCCAGAGTGCGGAGTGAACATGAAGTATATGCTCGAGGGTTAATATATGATCCGGAATATCTATATAAATCTACAGGTCAGTGTCATATTCACCAGAACTCTGTACTGAAGATTTCCCAAGCAGGAGTCACCCCTCACCTGGAATATGGGAATGAGGACTAGTCGCCCGTAATCGAGCCCTATTATAGAGAGTAGGGGTCTCTGCAGAGTGGCCACTATCTCTGGGTTCAAACAGTTGCTCAAGCGATCTATCTCTCTCTGCGCGTCCTTGAAGAAAAGCCCGTCTCCTTGAGGTCATTGAATTATTGAGATTCTGCTGACTATCTTGTTCCAGTATCAGGGCAAAGACCACTTTTATCTCATCCACCGACTCTCCAACCAATATCGGGAAGTTTCTGATAATATCAGCGCAATCCAGGTAGGCTCTCATCTCTTCAGGACTAAGCACGCGTCTCAGCCCGGGACCTAGCCCGAGTCGACTTATAGTTCTGGAACGGGTAGATGACGCATGTACTGGGCACATCGACTCGAGTATTCGATCAAGCTCGCGGAGTGATGTTCTAATATGAGCTGTCAGGAGAGAAGGAGTTCGGTATGTGGAAAGAGTCCTGTACGTGACCGTCAGTCATATTGCCTGCAATGAAGGGCTAGGAAGATGTTTAATGGGGGAATCTCACCCGGGGGTGTATGAAGAGCCCGAGCTGCTCCCTGAACTATCAGAATATATATCCAAGTACTCCAAATCAGCTGTTGATTCCATGTTTGGAAGGTTTGGTTGAAGCCTGAACATGTGGGCCATGGGCACAGCAGGGGAGACCGAATGGAATACTCTATACAGCCTGAAAGACGGCTCTTATTGATGATAACGTTAAAAGCTGGTATAAGAGAGACAAAGTTTGTTGATTTATTGTAGCAGTCAATTATCAGGCCACGCAGGCTGCAATGTGGATTACATATACCCTTTAGAAATTAAAACATGTTCCTACCAGGTTTTCTCGAGCTTTAATTTTCCGAGGACTGCGATAGCTAGTATCTCAAATATATAAAAGAAAATACTGCCATCAACTGTCACGCCATGCCCACAGATGGGGCGGGAAGACCTCGGGCATAGCGCAATACCTGAGGATTCGGGAGGAGCAATGTTACTCATAGATATTACTAGGTCACTAATTTAAGGAAAAGAGGTTGTGGTAATTGTTAATATATTGTAAAGATTTATGTTTAAGCTTTAACGATTTGATATAAAATATACAGATATGTGGTGTGCTTATTTGATCGCCGAGCAGACTAATGAGAGCTCGCTACAGTGCCTTCAAATTGCTGAATATTAATTCCCTAGTAAAAAAATACGTATGTGACCTTCCGCGACGCCTTCTCTCTCTCCATTACCTCCCTATCTTCATGTCTCTTTTTGCATATCTAAGAATGATACTCTCGCTTCGTCGTCCGAATTTCACTGTAAAAATAAGACGATAATTCGGCATTTAACTCTGGACCGCCTCAAGGAAGCCACTTTCCTAGAGTTAGAGAGTGTTAGCTGTGAAATATACTTCAATCGAAACTAGGACAGATATACATTTTCAAAAGGAGGGGACGGAAGTGCCATCCATGACCGCACTCTTCTGTTACCGATGACTGGTACCTCTAAAGCTTCACGTACGCGTCTTGGAAAGCTCTTTTTAAACTCTTCAAAATCCTGGAAAAAGGGGGATATGACTGGACCAGTTGAATCGGCGGCTGTTAGTGTAGCCGGTGCGTCTTGACTAAGGCTAGGTATGCTTCTTGTGATAGGACCCGGCTTGGGGAGGCCCATCTGGACGGGGCTGGGAGAGCTTTCCGTTATGATGTCGACGGGAGCAAAAGCGTATTGGTCTTTGTTACCGGGATAGGTTGCAGATCTAGGCCTACGGTGGATAGCCGCCAGAACTGTTGGAGTAATCGCTAGCGTTGAAACTAAGGCTTCAGTAAGCTCATTCCTTCCAGTATCAGCCGGTCCATCAACAATAATCCTGATTGATGACAGCCTCTGCGCCAATTCCTCCACCGCCTCTCCCTCTTGATCGCTCTCTGGTACATCAACGGACATACTAAATGCTCTAAGCGTTTCTTCGTCCTCATAATCCTCTAGTTCATCATCTTCTTCGGCGGAATTCTCCCGCTCCCCAGGGTCTATGAATATCTCGAATTCGTTCACCTTGTCTTCTTGAGGAAAGGTCATCATGGACATGGGGCGGTTTCTTGCAGATATTCTCGGTGTCGAAATCTGGGGTGTGGAAAAAGAAAACGGAATAGGTGCTCTCCATTGCAGATTCCGGCTCCACCGCTCAGATGCGGCTGGATTAGGCGGCTCTGGCCTAGTATTTATCTGCTCTTGTCTTTCACTCGGTTCATTTTCTGTTGCTGGTAGAACAGAGTGGATCAAGTTGCCTCCAGAGTCTAGGATTGGCGAGTTCAAGAACGGCTGTGGAACAGGGTTCCCGCGACGGGCACTGCTGATCCTCGGGGGTTGATTTGGGTTTGGTAGGATAGGCTTCTCCCATTCTTGAAGAAAAATCTCATGCCACTCATCGCGGACGCGTCTGGGGCGGATAATCGGTAGTGTTGAAGCCATGCTAAAATGGATGTCGAGGATTGCAGCATCTCGCTGCGGGGGAAGGGGATGGCGCGCTCTGTAACGTCTTTCTTGCTCAGGCGAAGGGCGCCAAGCAGCCAGATATGCGCGCTGACGTTCCCAGATGGGCTCGCGTTCTTCAAGGAGCCATGGGGGTAGATTTTCTTTGTTACTTTCCGAGAGATCGAGACTTCTGAAGAAAGCGTCATCGGCAGCGGCTTGTGCAGCTAAAATGGCAGCTTCAGCAGCAGTGGTTGTCATGGCTGCTTGAGTCTGGGTTTGATAATGATGACGGAGATGAGAGGAGACGTGGATGTCGATACGTGTAGGAGTAGGGGAGAGAGAAGGTTGGTTGATGTAGGAGAAGACCCCCGGCCCTCCTGGACGAAGATCGCTGGGGGTAGAGAGCAGCCCCCCTAGTGTAAGACAAAGAAGTATCTTCCCCCCAATATGATACGAGCCTTGAGCTGATCACACGGTGAACCAATTTATTGGTTCGTTCTTAGGACGGAGATAAGGCAGTGGGATGGTTCTCGGTAGGTTTGTACTTCAGTTACACAGAGTGGGGTATGACGATATTTGGGTTAAGGTTTGTTGAACTCCCCGCCTGGGCTACATTCAATTTCAAGGAATATACGCGCACTTTCTATATTGAACATTCTCTCTATGGGTCACATGAATCAAACTTCGATACATGTAGTCATTATCTCTGATACTGAACTCGATCCACTGAATACATGTAGATACGAGTAAAATTACCGTATATTACCAAGTTCGTGTTTGAATTTGTGTATATGCGGGAAGCATTTTGTGGGCTTTATGAATGAAGATAAAGCTGGAAGGAACTCCCCCGCGTATACTAAGACGATCACAAAGCAATTCTGGGAAATCATCTTTGCCGTCTTCTTTGTCTATTATAATCAACTAAGTACATTCTTTACTTAGTCGGACGTTAAATATGGTACCGTCCTGAAGTTCCATTAATTCTCCGTCACTTCCTCTCACTCGCAGCACATCTTGTCACTCGCGGCATCTTGTCTCACTCGTTGAATGGGTTAGGGTTAGTCTTGGCAACCATAACGCCATTAAACACTGTCCTCATGCGACAGCACAAACTCTTTTTGGGTTGAACTCATGAGTAGAGTAATGAAGGAATGGAATTTGGGTAAAATCATAGAGTTGGTCGCGTGCGGGATTTTCTCGAGTCTCACCTAGAGTTACCTTCATTGCTATTCTATGGTTGAATTCTTAAGCTCTGATTGGTAGAGAGCGTCGCAGCCAACCCAGATAGCATTAAGATCAACCCAAGACCTCAACGGTACCAATCAACTTGGTTACACCTAGGCGACAAACAAAAGTCCTCCTCAGAACGACTAGGCTATTGAATTCCAACAAGGAATATCGAGTGAAAGCCGTGGTAACTCGCGGCTGCGAGGTATGTCACAGGTAGTGTAACGTACATACACACCCGAATGATTGACCTCCACCAAGTACAAGAGGCTACATTTAGCAATAGCACACGTTTCCAGATGACAGTTCACCGACTTGTGGGGCAAATCACAACAAACCCTTCCTCACTTGTCATAACAGTGATAATCCTACTCTACAACATTTCTATCAACTAATATATTTAGCTTGCTATCATTATCCAAATTTTTATCGCTCAATTATCAGTATGCAGAGTTGGGACCGTATCAACAAAGCTCTTCCAAATATCCAACATTCAAGGAGTCTCGACTGTCTAGCGGAAGGTGTATTGGTTGAGGGCTCCCGAGACCCATGGGAAGATTGGGATGTATGCATAGCCCTTTCACGAAGGAGGTGACTACTGGACTAATATCTTACATGGAATTATAGTTTAAAGGTGACCGGCTAGAGACATCCGCCTTGGGCGGAATTTCCTCCTTTGACAAGAGGATAGACAAAGCAAAGAAAATATACGTCCAGGGTCTATTGGCCGCTCATCGCGTGCATCACGGACGTGATACGCTATGCGGCCCGTCAGAAGCTGAAGCCGAAGCCTCCCGCTGTTGGTCCGAGGCATGGCAGGAGGAGGAGGAGTGTCCCCACAATGTTGGAAACTTTGATGATAAAATGGATGAGACAGATGATACTTCACCGCAGGCTTTCGCTATGTCGGGGGAGGAATATCCTCAAGATGCCCAAAACCTTGATGACATAGAGGATGAAAATAGTGGATTTTCCTCGGGAGATTCCTCCGCACCGGGGGAGGAAAGTTCTGAGCCTTGGCCAAGTTACCCACCATATGAGGATTCCGGTTCTCATCAGTTTTACAACGCTGAGATCGACGATAATCATGTATACGCTAATTATAGTGCCCTAGAATTCACCGGAGCTCAGGAGTCATTATCTTTACGTCAAACGAAAGATATCGGCGAAGTGTTTTCAGAGGAACATCCACCATCATCACGCCTAGTTTCAGGAAACGACCTTAATAGAAATTCATCATCCCAAATACTAAATTCTAAAGCGACAGTACCATCAGATCAGGGTATACTCATAGAATCGAAATTACCAAGAAATTCAACAGGGAAACGTGGTCCAGCAAGGAGACTTCTTGTCACCTCGCGTTCCCGAGCCCGACCCCCATCAGCACAAAGAAATAATACGCCTATCTTTGGTACACAGGTTGTAGGTTTCTTCCATTACAAAAAGAAGGATTATGCATATGGCTAATGTGGATAAAACGCACAAGCATGAACGATCTAACGATCCACCTACGCAGCAAGCTCCCAGAAGGGGAAGGGTTAATACATGCACCTGCAAACACCACAGAGGATCACTTTTCCCTTGCACAGGTGGGCCAATAGTCCCCCCAAGAGTTTATGTGGTCCGCAGAAGGAGGGCAAGGAGGATGAGGCGACCAGCTACAGATTTTACCGTAGTTGTTGGCCACCTGCGATTGCGATATAATCTCGCATCTGTTCGCATTAGACGAAATAATTTTAGGACAGAATGATCCAGGCCAAGCCGGTTCGAGGATAAAAGTTCGAGATACAAAAGATTAGCGGTGTGGGTGTATGTTTATTATAAGACATCTGTGATCTAAGTGTTTGAAATACCTGGCACATCACTGTAGGGTTGACGGCGACTCTCTTTCGTCAGTATTGGACGTGTACATGTACTCCAGGGCTTTACCTATACTCTTTCTTTTGTCTAGAAGAGTCGGTGTTATTGTTTAATAGCCACATTTTATACAATAGTCAAGCGCAAAGACATCAAATATACATGGTTTGTACCATGTAGTAGTATTCTTTACCAACAAGACAAAGCGTGGGAATGTTAAAAATCACATAATATTGTTAACTGTGGTGTTTCGCGTTTCGACAAGCTCTGGTTGTGCAGTCTATTTTCAGTGGTATATTCAGAGCTGTATGTATACTGAATCATCTTCCTCACAACCTTCAAGACCAGAAAACTATATTGCAGAAGATCTTGAGATATAGAATCTCTCCAACCCCATAAAGCTTCTTCTATCCTTCGACTCGATATAGACATGACCCCCCCTACCCCAGAGCCAGAGTCTCTCTCGATTCAATAAGTAATCCCAAACTATGAACCAAGGCTCAACAAGAACACTCGCAAGAACCGGAGAAAATCAATGATGTCGTATACTACGTCCCATCCCCCCCCCCCCCCCTATATGCATCAATAATATTACCAGAGTCCCTTTAGGTTCCTCTTTCCGTTTGAGATCTCTATTTTGCTATCCGACTTCCGTTTTTCTGATCCCATTTATATATGTACAGACCAACGGCCCATGATCATGCTCTCAAATTAATGCGAGTATATTAGGAGGTGGCCCGGCGGCTTTAAAACTGATCTCTTTGAATACGCCTTTCTAGGTTTCAGATATTGATATTAAGAGACTGCCATATGTTTATATGTTTTTTTACACCTTTTCTCTCACCCCCGGGGGCTGCTCGGGTTGGACATATATGGCTTTGAGTCCCTGAGTAGGGATGTGATCTTAGGTTTCCAACGCTTTAGAGAATGGACTGTATAGAACGATCTCTGTACATAATTGGTGGTGAGCTAATTAGCTATGTAGTTCCAGAACTGTGTGTTGAGCTCCCGTTTCAGGTCTGTCGAGATGTTCCTATTTTAATCAATATTTGACGATTCCGAGTGATGATTTATGATCAAGGCATTTAACAACAATCTGATTGCGGCATAAGTGGATCTAGGTTAGGGAGCGGTGATTGAAACTCATCAAACTTCTTCTCCATCTATCAAATGAATGTAATATGCGGAACGAGGCCGTTCGCTATGCTGTTTACTGAAGTAAAATTGAGTACAGCGATTGGCAGGCTACAGGTGGAAAAGAAGCAAAATCAGATAAGGAAATCTAGAAAAAACGTTATACTCCCCTTCCTAACTGTGCGAGAAAATTACATACCTTCTTATGCCCTCCAGTGCCGACTGCAGATACTAATAATCCGTTATCCCTCTCGTGTAGGCTGTCCTGCGATGGATAGGATTGCAATAGCGAAGATTAATCTAAAATTAAAACTCCAAGACTCCCGCGCTGTTGTTTACTGCAGGGCTTGGTTGGTACTTAAATACTCCTTGCTGTATATGGTTGGTGGAGACAAGTATATAATCCAACTCGTTGAGCGTAGAATACACGAAAGTACCGATGGACTTGCAGCCCTGGGGATCTGTAAGTGGTCCTGGGCGCGAGACAAAACGAGACAAGACGAAACTTGGCAATGCTTCGTGCCCACAGGTATGTATTTTTGGTAAAGACATCCGGATGGAAAACCATCTTTACCATCTCTCCGAGCACGTATTCCTTCCAAAGTTCTAATCATTGGCGTGGCTTAGTAGCAATGGACCGATAGGGAAACTGAGTACAATTATGAGAGATTTCGGGATAAAGCTGTGTTTTTTCAGTCCTCGGGTGTTTTCTTACTATCTTGCCAAAGCTCTTGAGACTTACTTTTGAGATAACTGGTCCCGTACCCATAACTATTCATGACAGTCGATTGATAGCGCTTGGAGGTTGCTACCCAGGTTAATTCCGGTGCTTGTTACTACCGGTGCGCGGTCTTAGAACCACAGAAGGGAAACTCCACCGCAAACCACCGCCCCGCAGACATTCATCGAGATTTCCGGCCCTCCAGAAAGTCCAGAAAGAAGAGCTGTAGAACACTTCTCACAGCCTCAGTAATGCAGGCCAACATATGAATGCACGGTGTAAGAGAATTGTATGCGTATGTACACGCTCCAGCCTGGATAGTGAACTATGTATATACGCCATCCTAGCTACTACTCAAGCACTTCCTTTTGTCCTCCCTTGTCCCATTTGGGAAATTCTTTATTCATTCTTCTCTTTTTTTCTTTTCATTATAAATTTCCTTCCATGTAGTGTAAATTTCTTTTTCACAAAAGCCTGCATAAAACTTCAGCCTCTGGAACTCTCCCTAGTATTCTGATGGAAACTTGAAGGTTTCACAACTACAAATAGAGAGCCAAAGAGGGAAATGATCCGCCATAATAAATACAAGTGTCTTGTCACATAGTCTATTGGCACTCTCTTTGACAATATTTTTATAGCACAGGCAAGAAGATCCAGTTGTAAGCTATCCCTCGCAGAAATATTCGAATAGCTGGCTCTTCCATAGCGAGCTTGAAGAAAACAAATCCAACATGAAGAAAATTGCACTTTCCGTGGTGCAGTGTGCCATTCCCCTGTTTATATACATGATCTAGGCCCCACTTCCTTCCTGTTTGGAATCTCAAGCAGATATAGCCCAGTAGTCCAATCGCAACCTTTCTCCTCAACTAACATGTAGCTAATTGCCCAAGCAGAATTTAACAAGCCCCGGATACTTCTCTTCCAGCACCTCGACAATTTCTCCCCACATCTTCTTCTGCGCAACTTGGCCTTCCTCGCCTGTGATAACCGCCGCCGGCCTGCGTTTGATGGATATTCGCATTAGTTTATATCTTCTGCTACCAAGGAAGAAAGAGAAGTAAACTTACGGGACAAGTTGGCAAAATGTGGTGTACCCTCCATGGCTCTCTTCTCCCCGCGCTGCCGCATCCAGAAGAGTTCTACCGCCCCTCTCCGCACTCTTCCCCACAATCGTGGAAAAGAGATTCGCTACAAAACTATGATCCCTCCCTAGCTCAGACACACACAGTCCTGGATTGACCGTATTCACTATAACTTCAGGTTTGCCTGTGTCGGCGCCCGGCACCCTCTTTGCAAGCTCCCTGACAAAGTACATAATCAACAATTTCGACAACGGGTACCGCTCCCACTCGTTCGCCGGGTCCAAAAAATACTCTTTGTTGTTTAGTACCTTCAGGGCATTCTCCGCCTTGCGCTCCTGGAACGTGGTTAATTCATGCCCCTCGCTCCCAACAACCACAAGCCGTGGTTTAAAATCCGGATGAGCCCTCGCAGACTCTAGCTGCTTCTGCAGAACCCATAGAGATAGCAGCGCCGTCGATAACACATTTACCTGCAGCATCTGCTCCCACCCCTCTACGCTCTCATTCCACCCCAAGCACGCCACCGCAGCATTCATAACTGCGACATCCAGCCGCTCCAGGCCCATCATTTTGTCAACAAAGCCCTTCATGCCGGCGAAGGACGATAAATCGAGCTGCCACACCTCGACAACGTCGAGTCGCAGTGTGGAGGTCTCAATGTTGCGCTTAGCGGCTTCGCCCTTCTCAAGGTTACGAACGCCCAAAATGACCTTGGCGGCGCCGAGGCGTACGAAGTGGCGGGCGGCTTCGAGGCCAATGCCGGTGTTGGAGCCGGTTACGATCACGGTTTTACCGGCGTATGAGGTGTTAGGGTAGGGTGTGGGCCAGATAGCACTGAGGAGGACGCTGCGCACGAAGCTGAAAGAAACGTTTGGTGGACCCATTGTGGATTTTGCGAAAAAATGTTTGCGATTGAGAATAGGTTGTGATTGAAAATAAGTATGGACCACTCCGTTGGACGGAGCTCGAGAGCTCTTATGTCCACTACCGACAGCTTTGGATGCATAAATAACTAAAGTAAGCTCTGGCAGATCGATGCTCAATTTAGGGGGATGCCTTGTTCTGATCCCTGTAGATTTCATTATCCCATCAGGAATGCTACTTGCTGTGCATATTGCCTTATCATAAGCGAACAGAGCGCTCCAAGCCACCGTCAACTTGAGACGACAAGTAACGGCCGCAGCCAGGAAGCCCTGTAAGAAAAAGTATAACACAAACGCTACTTGACATCTCCTGAGTCCTGGGGCGATCGTTTGATGGACCTCTATGGGCTCATTGGGCTGTGCCTACAGATACGAGAACGCGTACTTGTGTGTGGACGATTATTAGGGTATTGTAATTATTCGACTATGCATAACCACTTTACTGGTAATGCCGGTTTTCCGGATTGAGTAGTCGATCCGCCCAACCTTTACTCTAACTTAGTAAGAGTATGTAACTTTATCATTGGTCTCCATGTGCTAGGGCGTCGCCAAGACCACCGGAACTAAATATGATCTGTCCTGGTGCAGAATCAAGCGGTATGACGGAGGACTTATATCTTCCCGAGATATATTATATTATGTTCAGAGCGCGCCTTGCACTGCCCACTTAGTTCGGGCCATCGCTCGGGCTGAGGCGTGGGGCAACGGAGCATAAGGTATCACTCGATTTGGCAGCGCTTGGCGGTGGAGTCTCGACGCGGAAATAAATCAACTGCTGACTTTAATTAAGTACAGGTTCTTAATTAAGTATATAGGACATGAAATTGATATTGGGAATTATACATTAGTGCTCTCCTTGGTTAGTGCGGGATACTTTCGACAGCCTCAACTTTCTATATTGGGAGCGCGTGAACGGTCCCTAGCTGTTGCTCACGGGACTCGCAAGGCTAGGCCGACGCTGGGAGATTGAGTATGAGAAAAGATCACTCCAGCTCCGGTTGCGTCTGATTGATAAGAGGCCTGGGTAAAGGAGAGTTTTCTGATATCTCCCAACCATTCTGGACGTTTTCATGGATCTGATATTATGTTTATCGTCAGTTAATAAAGGAAAGAGCGTATGCAACCTAAATCCGAAAGTTTATATTGTCTAAAATGTCTTCTACGTCGGCTCAGGAGGGTTGATACCTGGAGGGCCGGTCTTCAATGGGCACATAACTACAAATATGGCTAGGAGGTTGAAACAATGAGATTTGGGCGAGTAATGAGTCAATTCACATGGGTAATTATATCCGCCGATCATCCGCAGAGAATTAGGAGGGGCTGGTCGTGCTTTATATTCATTGACAAGCTTTATAGTAAATATCTGTGTAGGCAGAGAAGTCGAGGAAAAGCCGCTTCTGTGGCCACGGTGTTTAGGTACTTGAGATATATATCATACCACCCGATTCGTCTTGGCCTCAAAATCATGAATGGGGGTTTATCGTCGATAGGAACGTCCCAGTCTTATTTAGAACGGAGGAATATCTCCAACCGGAAGAGTCTGCCAGACCGCCGCAAACACGCATGGTAAGCTAGTTTAGTTGATACTAACTGCCAACCCATGCTACCGGGTAAGAGACACATGAAAGGTGATTTACGGTGGGGCAGATTATGGGTGAAGAAACATGCTAGGATATCAATTCTACGCCTGATTGTGGTATGCGCTCCGCCGCGTTTCATAAAATATATTAGTAGAGAAGGGACTTGAATGTAGCTAATATATGTTTACATGTACGTAGCTGATATCCAAATCTGACGGAAGTTAATCTAATAGCAACCTAACACGCCCTCTATGGGCCAGTTTTCTTTGGAAAACACGATTTGAGCTTTGGGACCGCCCCCGTTGAACCTGGCGATGGAAATTAGAGATGTAGAGGTAGAGTCGTGCTCGGTAATGACGAAGGTAGGCTAGCCTAGAGGAATTACTGGCTTGGCAATCTAATCTCATCTCATCTTATCTTGATCATTGACTGGGTTGGATTATTGCTCTTGAATAACACAGCCGATCTATCATTCGTAATGACAGAACTGCACACAGGATAGGATAGGTCTCTCCTTTAAGGCGCACAAACATTACTACTTTGCAGAAGGATCGCCAACTCCACATTATGGACCCGGAAACCTCACTCGTGGGTAGGTTTTATAATCCAAATTAAAAAACAATTATTCAAGGAGCTCAAATATCTCTTGTTCAACTATCGCGCGGGGGGATCCAGTGACAAAAGTTATTCCGTTGCGGGGAATTGAACCCCGATCTAGTCGGTGAGAGCGACTGATGCTAACCATTACACCACAACGGATTGATCTACTAAAGTATTAAGCTTATTTGAACAAATTATTAACTGTGAACTAGGTTATCAAAAAATTAGCCTCTCCTCACCTGCTCTCAACGAGTATCTGCTATGCTTCTAGGCTTTTGGTGTGCGCTAATTCATCTCGCTTCGAGGTCACCACTGACGCTAGCGGGAACCCTAACCCTACGACTCAACTTCACGCTCCAACACTGATTATGCGCACGTTCTGGACGACGCTGTGCAGCGGGATACATTTGATCTTCACCAGATTCGCAATGTTGGCTTTTGAGTGTAGAGGGCAAAGGTATTGTAGTAGTACTACAGAGACGCTGGCCTATAGCGGCCGTAGGTTCGGACGGAGGCTTAGGTCGACCTGTACGGATTATTTGTAAATGATCAGCTTGGGTCATCCGAGATCTTTAATATCTTGTTAAATTCGGGGTTTTCCATGAAGAATATTCGGTGCTGAGTCTTCGCAGGGGTATACGGGGATCAGTGTGGTCATTAAGCTCAGCAGATGTATTGGCAAGCGACGTGGTAACTGGTACCAGATTAAGCCCTCTTCCAATTGTTAAGATCTTGTACAAACATCATGTTCAAAGTCCTAGATAACATTTCAACTTGCATTTTCTTTCGCCGATATCGTAGCTATATTACTGAGTAAGCAATCGCCGTACTGTTTCCTGTTTCCCATTGAGGATGATAGTTCAAGTATGTCTCTTTACTCACATGATTAAATCTCAAAGAGAACCGGCCCCCACGTTCATGATTCGCTCTGTAAACCTTGACTAACGCGATCACATAATATCACTCGAGTTATTCGCACACGCTTACCGTGAAGGGTATAGTGCAACTAGACATTCAGGGCTCGAAAGAAAACCGCAATCACAACCAATTTTCCAAAGCCAAACTCTTAGAACTTCCAGGTCCTTTGAGAAGATTTAGAGCAGACGTAGAGTGTGGTATTTTGTATTAGTGGTGTCGCTGTTCCTCCAAAGCTCAAAAATGGGTAGTTCTGCCTCATTCGAATAGATCCACTAACATATAATATGCTACACATTCTTCGGCAGCTCAAAGAAACACTCCCGGCTGGTTGGCCAATAGATAAATCTATACATGGCCTTTCCGCATTGATAAAACTGAATCATATAAATGGTCGACTTTCAAGTTGCATTACAAGGTCGACTTTCAAGTTACACTACAAGGTTATAGTTAGCTATCAAAAAATCTTCTGGGGTGGCATGAAATGGAGAACTCTTCACGAAAGTTGAAGGAGAGCAGAAATACTGTTTCAAGATGGAGATTTCGTGCAAATTTATCGAAAGTATACCCTTTGCAGAGATTTTGAGATAGGATCTCTCCAGTATAAAGCGACAGAATTACCAGCAAGAAATAAATTCCTCACTACTATCACCAGCTTGTTATACCATCACTTCAAGCCAACAAAAGGACTATTAAGTGTAATTAGCTCAAGCTTCTAAAACATTCCGTTCTTAGCCGAATACACAAATCTCAAGATGAGCGCTCCCAACACCCCAAATAGCAGCCAAACCACCGCACCCCCCAATTCCCCAATCTCCGGGAATCCCATCGCTATTCCTGACCGCCTCCGCGCCGCCATTGAAGCCAAAAACGCACGTAAAACCGCAGACCAGGTAGAAATAGAGACGGAAGAGATAGCCCGCGGCATAAGGAGACTTATGAGCAGAGCCAGCATAGAATCACTGAAGCCAGAGACTGCAGAGTCTACTGCTATCCTTATGAGACCTGCGCGTCCGGGCCAAGGAATCAGGGATCCAGAAGCTGTGAATATACCAGCGAGATTGGTGAGAAAGATAGAGTTGGACACTTTGAGAGAAGAACTTGAATGGGTCAGAACAGAAAGCGAGTGGCATCAAGCAACGGCTAGTGGGGAGCTTCCTGAAGGTACTGGTTGGTATTCAGATGATGGGGATGAACATGCTGATCCTATGGATAATGATAGTCTGGCTTTGGGTGAGGATGGAGCCTCATCTCCGGCTACTGGTACAGATAGGATTAGACGAAGGGACCGGATAAGGCATGCGGGAGAGGTCCTACTTAGAAGAATGAGTAGTCTCAACCCAAGGACCACCAGGGCACCGGAGAAGAATTGATTATGGGGCTAAGCTATAGAAGCTGCGCGGATTTCCGTATGGCAATATATTAACCGCTTGTGTTTGTTGTTTTGTAATTCGTATAGATAAGTATGTCCGTAGAGTTACCTGGAACGTCGATAGATGATAGATGTAGCCTTAAAATGGTGTTAGTTAGCGTCGAAAGAAAATTTAAATACCCCGATTTCTCAGGCAGTGATCGTGATAAACGGACCTAAGCATAGTATCATAGTTTGACACGGTACCGGAGGTAAGAATTTAGCCTCGCTTGAGGCTTGGTGAATCTTCAGGGCGGTCTGTTTCATCAGCGCGTTTGCTGTCAAGATTACAAAAATCCATTATAAATTTATTCACTATAAGGATCCCAATACCTGTGCGTGTATAATACCCCTCGTTACGTTTGATGTGCACTATTGACGCTAGAAAAAGTGGGAATGGCCGGAGTCATCGCGCATCGGTGTCCCAGACTGAAGGCAATCAATTGCTCTGAGGGGACCGTAGCTGTTGATCTCGATAACCTGGCTTTTCTTTTCTTTGCTGCGGATTGGTAGATAAGATCTAGTGGTGCAGGCCTCGGGGAACTTTGGGAAAGTTATTCGTGGTGGGTGTTAGTTTGGAGGGTCATAAATTTCTGCGGACGTGGTTGGGATGTACCCACTCTAAACTTGTATAACCCTAACCCTTCACAGGGTGCAACTACAATACCAAAAAAGGGTATGGATTCGCTACGTTATTCCCCTTAATGCGCTAGTAATGCAGCAAGAATACGGCATTATTACGGTATTCTTTTTGTAATGCCGGTTTAATTCCATATTCCTCGCTAAATCCCGTAGTCATACAGTACTGATTTCACCCCGTTTTTTCGTACTGTAATTCGAAAAACCAACGAAAGACCTCTAAAAGATTTAGGTTACATTCTGCAAGCTGGCTCTGTTAAAAAAAGAACCATACAGATCCGGCAAAAAATATTTGCAGCAAGCCAAGTAATGGGGTTGCTCCTAAGTATTCCTGACCAGGGTTCGACACCTTATTTAAACTACGTGTAGTTCTCTAGAAGGTTGCATGAAGTCTAGGTCTACATATGTGTATGTACGGGGCTCTTGGGGTCTTCCGAGGAGAGCCATCTGTACTATCTGTGTCGTCAACGCCGCTTGCAACAGTACATGTATGTACGTACATACATGTATGCGAGGAGGGAAGTTTCTAATCGAGGGTAACCAGTCTCCCGACAACTGACTTTAGGTTGGGACTGTACAGAATGATTGTAAATTACATGTATATATAGAATTGAGGTACACACAGGCGTACACGACACGTTGTTCCTAGAGAAAAGGGGCCACCGAAGTTCATATTTGGTGGGTGAATCATTATATTACAGTATTTGTCTACGAGTTTTTTCCCCGATATATGCTAACAATAAAACTGGAGTGGGTACGTGCATCTGTTCAATAAAATCCGCAACGCTTCTAGAGTTGTCGTCCCTTACCATGATATTCTGCCTGCCGGATAACCAAATTCCGCGTCCGCGCTGTCCGAAAAGGTAACCTACATGTAGTTGTTAGATGATGGCTTACTGACCAGGGAGTATAATGGCGTAGATTATGGGAACACTCAACGAAGTCGTTTCCCATCTGACGGTAAAGAAAGGACTCTTCGTGATATATCAGGAGGGTGCAAAAAGGGGATAGAACCATCTAACGCAAATTAGGCCCCTCTTGATTCTAGAGGAATTAGAAGAGGCCGAGAAGATGGTCTAACGCAACTTGGCTCCTCCCAGTCTTCCAATTGGGGACGGCTGCACCAAGACTGGATTGTGGTCGATGAATAGGGAGCGTCAGCCCTGACGCGAGTGATATTGTGTGACCTGACCTGGGAATGCACCGTCGGATATCCATACTGCAGATATACAACAAACTAAGTTTCAGATCGTGGTTCCGGAAGAAGATGAGAGTTTTTCTTTGAAAGCCGATGTTCAAGGATTGATACTAGCGCGCATATTTTGACCCTGAAGACGTTGGGCCCGGGGATAAATCGAAACCCTCATAAATGCAGGAACTTAGACATCATGTTTAGATATATATTTTTATCTGATTCCGGGGTTAAGTTGGGGAAACCACATAGGCTTTGAAGTGCTTTATTCGTTTTAAACCGATGAGGCGACCGAAACTGGAGAGTGCATAAGGACACAATAATTAAATCCCATAGCCATAGCTCATTGCAACGCGCGTACGAGGTGCTCACAGATCAGCTCCAAACAAGCGGCAGGACCGGGGGTATCTTGCTATCTTGGTAGCTATGGCGATTGTCCAGGCAAGGAGGACACCATTTCTCCCAATGTTCATAATCCGCATGGGTGCTGACAGGGTACTATGATGATACCTGTACATATAGGTTCTGATATTGCCAATTAGCTCTCAGTATCTATATATTTGTTAGAAATTCACGAAATCTCTATAATTTTTCTTTTATGCAAATCATGTTGAGGAGTCAGCAGAGGGTATTGGCAATATCGGGTTCCGATTGCGTGTTCGGGTATCAGCGATATCCGGTGGGTTCCGTGGCCCCAAGTTCGATAGACAGTGTCCGGGGAGAGCATAGAGGAAAAGACTTCTGCTCTAATATAAACAGCTTTCCTCATATCAGCTGATTCGTCAGTAAAGCTCGGAAGATAAAAGGGGGATATCTTCTCTTCTCTCTTTCATCTTCATCATCGTGCCAGTATTTCTAATCCTCGCCACCTATCCTCGAGAACTCTCATCTCCCTTTAAGAATCTTCACCTCCAAAATTCATTCCTTTGATATCTACCATCAGAATACCCATCCTCCGTTCCTTTGTTTCTATAGTATCTTATCCCTCCTTCGATCTCATGATTGCGCGCTTTTAAGCTTTCAATCCGCATCCATCCTCTCCTTCATTTCTTTGCGGCCTAGATTGGTCTGACCCACTCCCATCGTCATCTCCCCTCTATTATCCCCACTCCTGGACTTCCTACTCATTCCCTTGGTACTCCCCTCGGGACCATTTTCTACCCAATGCCCTCACTAGCTGGACTCTTTCTCCTGCAGGCAATTGTACTGCTTCCTGCTCTCTCTAGAGCAATTTCCACACAACGCCCCCGTGGGGTCGGGTTCCCTCTCTTATAGGGCAGCTGTACTGGAACCTCCAAAGAACAATTTCCACCCAATCCCTCGTGCCCCCCCGGGGGGAGGTGTCTCTTCTCTCTCGTTGGGTGATAGTACTTCATCCGCCTCTTCTCCTCATCAAGAACTACACCTTCATCTGGGGGGTGACTTTCCCCCTCTTTTTCTCTCCCCTCTTTATCTCTCTTATAGAGCAATTGTACCGCCACAGCCATCTAAGAGCCCCTTGTGCGTTCCGCTTCTATGCGAACAGCACATCGAAGAAACAGCTTATTCTCGAAATTCCTGGACTAGCGAAAGTAATTATTGTGGTCGAAGTTAGGAATGCCGAATCTGATATGTCTGGTCGCTGTAAGGCTGATTTCTTTTGTTACTGCTCTTTGTTTGTCGTTAGTTGGTGCTGACACGAATAGTTTATATATACCACATAGTATAGTCTAAAGCCTCCATTGTTGAGCGGAGATGGTAACCACACCACACGCAAATAATATCTCTGGCAATGAAACTGTGGATATGGCCCGAGGGGGGGGGGGGTACGTCTGGGACCACCGATTCTGTTCAGGGAGATCTCTTTCTAGGTGTGTGAGTTGATTATCCATGTTGTTTATAATTTATTGTATTCAACAGAATATTTATGAAGATTGCCCGCTGTGAAATATTAATTAAATACAGGGTTCTGACACTGGCGTATTAGACATACACATTATTTTGTCCCTCCGATATTTCTTCAGAGACCAGAAGCGGCAGCATCATTCGTTTGCCCTCTCGGGAGAGTAAAGAAGTATCCGCTTCATTGCTCTCCTGTAGAGGGTAACGAAGTATCCGCTTCATTTCTCTCTTGGAGAAAGTAACGAAGTATCGGCTTTACTGTCCTTTTGGTTGATGGGGTAAAAATAACACCTCTTATTTGAAATTCACTTTATTAATGACTGGGAGTAGATGTATATATTAGCATGGATCATTGAAATATAGAGCGAAGGGATTTATCGTCGTTTCCACTCGCTCCCGTGGTGGAAGCTCCAAAGGCCAACCGTCACCAGGGTATCTGCAACTTTTAGGTGTGTTAATTTTGCACGTCAACCTGTTCCTTGTTTGAATCTACTCACTCACTGAACCGCCAAATTATTCAACAAGGAAGTCTAGCCAAAACCTCGCCTAGTTCTAATCCCGCCAAATAGATCACTAGAATTACACAGGTTTTGTTTTGGTTGGTTGGCCTCCCAAGCTCAGCAATCATTGAGAAGATGGAAGAATTCTAATTGGCACCTCCTTGGTCTAGCATGATTGTCACAATCAAGCTCCTGAGCTTGATTTCAGGCCTCGCCGAGGAAGATTTCCTCGTATATAGTGAGATGACGGACTTATTTGAGGATTACAGGGGTTTCCTCAAACTTTCACCTACCCTGCGTCACGATCCTCCAGAGCAGCAATCGATATGCTGTTCGACGATACGTGGCACAAGGCCATATGGCGACGATTGATCGCCACTCACCATACAGCATGTCAGTGTTTGTGGCGAAGCACAATGAGAAGGGGAGACCCGTTATTGACATGCATATGCTGAATGAGCTGGTCCACGGGGATGCCTATCCGCTACCTCGCCAATATTAGCGGTATGAAATTTATCAGCGCCCTCGACATCACCTCAGCATTCTATCAGCCAATGATCCTTCCGGATGACAGATATCGTACCGGAATCGTCACACACAGAGGCCATGAAATGTTTACCGTCTCACGCATGAAATACAAAGATTCCATATAGCACCAACAAAAGCTTACAGACCGCGCGTTCCCTAGGTTGACATAAACTCCAAATAGTATGTGTCCTTTCTTCCCTCCTCACTTAGTTCTAGTTAGGACAGCCAGAGCAAATTGCAGTTCATGCTAAGGCATTTTCTAACCTCTACCCACAGTGATTCTCACACATCAATGTGGTTATCAAAGGGATGACCAGAGAGATGGCACTATTTTTTTGCGCCAATATTTGAGCAATCGGAATCAAATTCCAAGCGGTGCCAGGCTTTAGATAGTTTTAAATAAAACTTGATTTGTGTTCATTCAAACTCGCCCAACAGCTGTGGTGATTGTGGTTTGTGGTGCTCAGTAATGAAGTGTCCAGATTCTCTGTGGTATTTCTTAGAAAGGAATATTCTATTGCCATCATTTGTGGGTGTGTTTGGTCACGGTGGGTGGTTCCGGTCGAATGGCTCTAAGAACCGTGAGTAAGTACGTAAATGCATATGTGAGACTTGTTCTAGCACTCTTACATTATTCCAAGTCGATTTTTCAATATTAGTATTAGATAGTGTCAATTACTTAATGTATATCGATATATCATCCGCCATGGGGTGTCTTGCACAAGAGATCGGTTCTCTAGTGACAAACAGCTAAGAATCTTCCAGTGCGGCCACATGTATTTTTGACAGCTTTTAGCCAGGTCCTAGTTCGAGAGCTTGCTGTGTCTCGATCAGGATGGCTCTCGTACAAAAAGATAAAGGTGATATATCGATGCCAGGTGCTCTCTTGAAAAGTGACTCCTGCATGTATCTGTGCTTTGATGGTTTGTTTGGTGATGTGAGTGAGGTTCTCACGCTCGGGAGGTGTAGAAGATGCCACTATATTTTACCTTGGTCTTATCTAATCAACGGATAAATGTACATCCGAAGGGCTATAACTCCATATGACGTGTTCTTGTGTTTCCTTAATACCAATAACCTTTGCCGCCTCAGAACTACAAGTATAAGTTAGGGTTAGGGTATGTATATCATATCCATAATCTCAACTTAAATTTTATATCTGGCCATATCGGCCGCCTAACCCTCTTATGGTACCTTATCTACGTAGCTGGGCTTTAGAGGAACATCAACGAACGTGGTCTCACAGAATTCGAAAGACTTGCACATAGCTTCTACACTCAGGCTTACACCAGGAAAGTTGATTTAGTGGTTCCTTACGTCCGTATCACCAGATCAGTGTAGAACAGGTATATATTACTATTTCCTGCCTCTTTTGTTATCCATAGGTCACCATCACACGCAGGAAACGAGATTGCTAACATGGTTGAATCTTAACCTCCCTCTCAGCACACATCGCTTGATTGCACTGTTCACTCAGAAATCGATCTCGGCGAAGTTTACATGGAATCTCCAATAAAGATTTGGCATGTACTCTATTTCGTACTACAGGCCGCGGGGGAGAGGGGTGGAGTTCCGGACTGGGGATATGGATCGGCCGACAACTCTGATTTGAGGCTAGGTTAGTAAAGCATAATCAAAACGCCTCTTCACAAAACGTCAATCGCTAATAGCTTTACCACCAAAAAACATGAAAGAAATATTGGTCCAATGAAAGTGTAGTAGTAGTGATGAAGTTTACTTTCATTGTATAGATTTTTGATATCTATCCTAGTTGTGAAGTTTTACAGCTTGAAATCGGCTGATCTTGTATGTAAGAAGCTCCAGGACTGAGAAAAGTGGAACAGTTATATTATACCCATTTCTACCCCCCTTAAAAGCGAATTGCGGCAGCAATGCTAGAAATAGACCCTCTCATTGGCCTGGGAGTCATCTTGCAGCCATGATTGTTCCACTTTCAAATGCCGCTGTGTCACCTTTAAGAGTGTTTGCACCTTACGTGTAGCTCTCGCCTTCCAAATACCTTAACATGGTCTCGAATAACGCCCATCATAATCGTGGCTCTGCTGCCATAGATCCGACATTTAAAACGTAGCGAAACAGCCACCGTACCGCATGAAACCTCACCGTGTCAACATATATTAGAGATTATGGCCAGTGCTGACGTTGCGATGACAGCCCGCGGCGGGCGGTGTTATCTACATGTATTAACGCTAATATACGTAGTGTTACCGGGAAAGTTGCTCTTATATATAGTTGTCCATGCCGGGCATATACATGTATCTGATATGTGTGGCAAACAAAGCATAGAAATCTATAACGACATGTGGTCTAGCTCTCCGTCCCGAGATCTAAATTCTATACGTGGTTGAAGCGCCTACCTTTACGTCGAATCTATCGCCCTTCAAATCAGAATACTCAGTTTAACAGTCTCCTACTTGTATCTAGAGTACGGAGAAAAGAAATATATTACAATTTGGTAACACTTCTGCACCGCCGCCGCAAGAATTGTCATCTTACCTAAGTCCTGTGATTAGAGTACAGTTATCTGGAATCCCGTGCGACCATTGACTAGAAGGAGTATCGCGATTTGAAAGGCTTAAAAGTCGATAAATAATTGCCTTCGCATTGCTCAGCTTTGTTGACGATGGACAATGGACTGGTGAACGTAGTGAACTTAAACTTAGAACCACCCAGTTTGAAAGGTACGTTGCACCCATTGTACAAGTGGAATTCAAACTAGAGTTACTTACTATCGGGGTCTAAACTTGATAGGAAGAGAATTTAGGGATGTCGTAGATAGTGCTTTGTCTGAACATCGTGTGGGCAAGCACTATCGAGTTATCAATATATACGCTTCCCAAAAAATGTTGGACTCCTCCGAGAGATCAAGATGGGGATATTTGGACCCGGAGGATCTAGATAGCTTCAACAAAAGACTGCTGGAGCCAAAACCAGGTCATTTCCCGGCAAGTCTAACAGTCGATTTGCAAATTAAAATGACCTGGATGTATATCACATTTTCTGAAATAGTTGAATACGCGGCAGCCCGTTTGACAACCTTGAATAAAGCTGAGAGTCAGTTACTGGAAATGGCTTTGCACCGAATGAAAGATATGGTCAGTCTCATCACAAAAGCATGGGACTTGCAAGCATATGGTCACATATGGATGGGCCATTTTCAAGGACCGAAGGCAGCATTAGACAGATTTCCACAAGAATTTTATAAGGAAATCTTGGAACGATGGTGTCGTCTGCGAAACGAAGTGAAGGAAGATGATATCCAAGGCTTGAGATATCTAGATGATTGGATGCAAAATTTCACAAGACGTTACAAAAATCTTAAAACAGAGAGGCAATGCTTTGACGTATGGACAGCTATCCATGACGCTGGCGATGAGTGTCACAAAGGAGAGGTAGTAGAGGCGTGGAGAAGTGCGATTAACGAGTTTCGGCGCGATAAAGTGAAAACCGGAAAAATAGAGGATGCCATTGACGGGATCGCTGCAAGGCTTTCGTCGGACAAGTTAGTAATAAAGGATGAGGCTACTAAATATGGTTGGAACAGCAAGCATAGTTTCATGGTAGAAAAGAAAAGGATGTTTATCCACAATTCTCACCTAATGGTTGACTTACAACTGCGTCTCAAAATGCGTGCTCATGGGGAACAAAAGGAATTTACTTTGAGCGACTTAGAAGCTTTAGCTAAATTGCGAGAGGATTCGATAACGGCAGGTTTGGCCGAAAAGGCGCTGATGGGGCTTTCCGGAAACCCAATCAATATCTGGTTTGACGAAGTTATGTTTTACCTACCATATGAGCGAATTTGCTCAGGTTTCATATTCAACTGGATCCTATATTGCACAAAACTGGATCCTATCGAATTTTCAATCATGTTTTGTATGAGTTTTGGTATTGTGGAGGAGGATACTACGGATTGGTTCACTGATGACACAAGAAATAAAATCCCTTTGTTCATTGCCGAGCTCAAAAGCTACGTGAAAAGAAGGCGGATGAAAAAAAAGAAGGGTAAGGGTGCTGCGGAGAAAGCTGTGCCGTTGGTTAGTGGCCAGAGTACGAAAGGGAGGAAGAAGAATAATGAAGAACGGGAAGAGCTCGAGATTTCGAGTAATGACGAGCAAAAAGAAAGGGATTCAATAAGCGATCCCGGAAGATCAGATAACTCAGCTAGCGGAGTACGTAAAGACGAAGAAGCGAAGAAGGAAAACTATAAGAATGTCACGGCTGAAGGTTACGTCAAGAAGCCCGAGCCTAGCGAAGATACCTCTCAGACCTCCGCAGCGTTGAAAAAGAAACAGATCTTGAGCAGGATGATGAGACCTCGACAGAAGATTAATGGTTGTTTGAAGTCTCTAGAGGAGGATAGTCAATCCGAGAGTTACGATGGTGGTAGTACTATTGCCAGCTCTCCTCCGATATCAGAAAAAATCTTTAATGCTATCTCGAAACCAGAGAATTCGAACGTCGTTGTCCAAAAGGCCCTGAGCGAGGAGAGTATCAGCAAAGAAACCTCTCCTATAGCGGAAGTCCAGAATTTATCCCCAGGTTATGAACAGAAAGAGAATGACCAATCTGCGAGGAGTGGAGATAATAACCCAATTGGAAGGAAAGGCGATGGTGATGGAGAAACAAGAGAAATATTGGATCTGATACCCGTAGAAGAGGTTGTAGATCCAACACCTGTAACAGGAGACGATATTCGACCACAATCACTCACGGGTACCGATTCCAAAGCATCGGAGACTGACTATGCTAGTTGTAGTAAGATTGTTGATCAAGTGGAAAAAGAAATTCCGGGTGCCTCTATAACAGATACGAACCGAGATGAAGACATTTCCGGTGTGAGTCTTGCACATCCAATTGACCCAGCCGATGAATTACCCAAAGATCACTCTAAAGGACCTGAGATGGACTATGCTAGCAAGGTTGACGAGCAAGGAGGGACAAACACCCCGGGTGCCCTTGTATCAGATACGGAAGGGGACGAAGTTTCCGGTCTGAGCCGAGAACATCCAACTGGCTCGGCCAATGAAGCGCCCAACAATCTCTACGATGTTGGAACACCGAAATCTATCTATGGCACTGGGATGATAGGTGGAGTCCGAGAACCCATTCCATCGTCACTTGAAGAAAAGGACCATAAAAACTCCGATCCAAAAATAATCGAAGCCAAAGTCATAAAAGGCTCGGAGATTATAAGCGGCCCTATTGATGTCGTAGAGTTTCGAGAATTGTTAAAAGGCAAGGAGACGGATATGTTGCCCCCGGGCCAGGACCTCATCCAGGATGACACTGCCGAGAACGATGGAATGAAGGCATCTTCCGAGAGAATACTCTTGAGGGATACCGGGAGTGTCCCTCTGAACACCAACGATAACGAAAGAGAGTATATCGGAATTGTGGCTCAAAACCCTCCTGATCCAAGGCAGAGGGAAGAAGAATATTTTGGCTACATTATTTTGAGTGAAGATAACAACCAACTCCCTGAGTCCAGCACAGCACCGTTTGAAAGTCAATATCCACTGACCGGTAGGGAAACCAATACATCTTCCCCTCTCACACAGGAGCTAATATAATCGTTTGAAATGTAGCAAGATACACAGTGGAAGGCCTGCCGACGCAAACTGTAACCATTCAGTGCAACGATCCGGCCTGCTACATACACGTCGATGATGGGAATGGTGGCATGATACCGTACCATCCTTCAAACATAGCTCTCAATGGTGGAATGAGTCGTACACAATCTGAGATATCTCAGCGAGAACACTCTCACTCAGTGCCTACATTTTCAACAGTTCCCAGAGGCCCAGTCCTTGCTATACCTGGCTCCGCTAGAACCCAAGCCATTACGAATCAAGGATCTAGAGGTGGAGATAGAGTTAGGGGTAGGGGTAGGGGTAGACCACCGATCGTTGGGTAATTCGTTAGAAGAGAGATTTCATGCTCTCGAAATTATGCAAGATAATTCATTGAGAAGAGTAAGGTACCGTGATTAGGTAAAATGAAAAATGAAAATGAAACGAACAGGAATGTAGGAGATTGAGAACCCGGGTTAGATCAGAATTGTGCCCCCGCAGTAGTTCTAGAGTACATTAGACATGGAGCTTTTCAGAAGTATGGTAGAGCTATTTGCAAACTTTCTCATTTGAATCCTTCCTTTCTTAGTTCTTCTGACCTAAGAAACTAGCTCGTTACTCTGATAGTATAGTAAAACTCACAATGGTTACGCTCATATTGAACAGCGTCACATATATATGCGCTTAAAAACTATCCGCAATACTTTAGGTCAACCTCTAGCTCCCCCCGGTTTCGTTTAAAAGTATCCCGTACAGTGCCAATGCAACTAACCCCTAATGCTCCAAAGGCTCGACTGTCTCTTAAAGCATAAATCTCACACTTATAGCATAAATCCCGAGTGGAAAGCTTCATGAGACCCCTTTTATCTCTTCCCGCTGGGACCAGAACCCCAGTCATGAGCTATCACTCGCCACATTGAATCTTGTGACGTGGGTGTATCCAAGCAATAGGGACATACGCCGAGTTGACGCCTGATACCAGGCACTAGGATGGCTATTGTACTTCTACCCTCTCAAGGTTACCTCAAATATCTAGGCGCCGATCTGGGGGGAGGGGGGGGGGGGTGGTTACCATATAAGTTAAGAGTTGGGCGGGGGTGTTTGGGGCAACGTAAAGGTAGTTCGTATATACCTCGAGCTCTGGCGCTGTAGCTTTGTGACGAAATACAAACCCTAGAGGTCTGAGGTAATACCTAGATATCCCCTATCTTATGAAAAGAAGCGTAGTCATGAAATATCACTCGCTGCTCTGGGATTGACGACGGCGCACTGAAGGGATATCGTGGGCATCTATAGATAAATTACAAGCCAACAACCGGTTATAATGTTTACAGTGCGTAAATATAGAGCTGTAAGTACCACATGTATCTCTCCTGGAACAATGGTCAAATCATAGGATCTCACTCGCTGCCGAAGACCCCGGCGCAGGGGGTGGAACTGCGGTGTGTTGACTTGACATATAGCTCTATCGTGAAAGACTGCTCCAAATACAGTTTGTCTAGAGCACCTTAAGACTTCCAACTTTCGATTCAAAGGTTTCTAATTATCAAAGCTCATTCGCTATTTTAAACATGGAGTACTTATCCCTTAATTAAGCTGTCGATGCTGAACCCCCTATACCAAAGGAATTAAGTTTGTATGAAAGATATATTGTTTGATAAGAGAGATAACGAGATCTTAGTAAAGCCACACCGAATCTGCTTTTTTTTGAGGGGGTCAGCATTTTCGCAATAGCTTAAGGGATAGAATTGACGGGATGAGGAATTGGGTAAATTCAAAACTCTTGATCGTCTATTTGTACGAAAGTGTGATTCCTGTAAGGTCAACCAAACATTTGAAATCCCCAAATGTCGTTTCCAAGAAACGTGTGGTAATCGTAAGCTATCACTCGCGGCCTCCAATACCGCCAGTCCAATAATAAGAATACTGGGAAATATCGCACCAGCCACCGATTTATATCGTGTTGCAAAAAAGGAGCTTATTTATCCTAGATGTGGCCTGTACTCTCCAACATCACATAACACTACCGGATTTTATCTGCAGCGGCAACAAGGGGACTCTGGTAGATTAGCGATATGATTAGCGTCTACTAAGACACGACCGCCATCTATAGAGTGTATAGTGCGCGTTAGAAGCTCCTAGGTATCACGTCTACGAATATATACGTTAATCACAAGGTATCACTTGCGTATCTTAAACGTGGGTAGGGGGTGTCGAAGCGATTGAAGAACGGGGTGCAGTTCAATTGGGGGGAGGTGGGGGGCTTCGGCCCTGTTCCTTCCTTCTGTCACTAAAATCGAGTTCCAATACATATGAAATATATAATGCACCCACAACGCAGTTAAAGAATTATATCTTTCAAGAGAGACGAATGCTCTGGGTCATGGGATATCACTCGCTCCCCGAAATCGATGGGGAAATGTTGAAACAATTTGAGCGATGAGTAGAAGCATTGCGTATATTTAGGAGACTACTATCCCTAGGGTATACCCCTTTCCGCTAAACAGGTTGTTCTCTGTAGTGTACGTTTTACGGAGCTCTATGTCGTTACGGTGACCAGTGGAAGAGGGTGATGTGGACACTACGAGTCTTAGAGAGGGAGGTGTTAGCAAATTGAAAGAATATCTGAATATATAGAGTGAAAGGAAAATCTTATACGGAAGCATTACACAGCCTTAGCCAAAGACCACTTCTCCCCCAGAATTCACTCAACCATACCCACCACCGTATTTCACTCCTTCCATCGCAAAATCCTATATAACACAAAGTTAGCCAAAGCCATTACCAAAGCCCTTCTTAATCCCCAATCCCGCAGTGGTCACGCGACGAGCAAACAGGTCATCCGTAGGGAACTGCAGGACCTCGCAGACGAGCTGGTGCTCTGTGGGCCTAGGGATTGAGAAGGATGAGGTATGGGTAGAGGTAAAGGCGGCGCAAGGCGGGAAGAGGGGAGGATTTGCGTGTGGGGTTTGCTTCCCATGGTGTAAATAAGATGATGATGAAAAAGGTTGTGTATCATATGTTGTTGTTATTGCGGTGGTGGATCACAAGGAGGGTGCGATAAAACTCGAGAAAACTCCCTTTCTGAAATGCGGTTCTCTCTCCAGCTCTTCAGGCCGCTATGTTCTCGCGTCGAGATTAGAAGGATCAATTTTAATAAACACCGAGAACCACGAACCTCTGCCGAATTGTCTTCCACGCAAAGGTCGCTCCTTCAGAACGAAAATAATTCTAAACAGGTCATCCAAGAAGGGACAACCGAGCACCAAACAAGTAGATGAAGACCTCCGGCTCGAGCATCGCCAGTCCCTCATCCGCTTTGTGATTCTACTAAGAATATCGGTAAGAGTATTCGGGACGGCCTGGGTGTTTTAGTCACAGTCCGAGGCTGAGATGAGCTATTCCAAGGATCAGAAAGATGGGACGCGAGGATAGTTGGGATCGAGTGGCGATTACTCGTTGTAAACGATTTCCAGGGAAGCTATGTGGGCGAATGACAGATGTTGTTTTGGGAGACTTAGGTTGAGGAGTGATGGGTTGTTGAGGGTGGGTGGTTGTGTGATGTTGGTAGGATCACTGGTTCAGGGATGATGGTTGGACATTCAGGGATTGTATGGGCAGTTTTTCAAGTTTCGGGTTTCAAGTTTCGCGATAAAGGCGTACCAGCTTCATTCTTGTTAGAAAATAGTAATAGTGAGTAATTCTGTAGCCATACATGAGTTACCTAGCTTTAGTAATCTAGAGTCTGATTAATACTCCCGAGTTTGAGGCTGGGAGGACATTGTACCGGTACCGCTGGTGTCGAATATATCCGCCAGGTAGAAGTTTTCTTATCATCTTCGCGTCTTCACCAGTAAACACCGGACATCTGTAAATATTCCCCCTACTAATTTACATAAACACCCGCATGGGAAATATTCATACAATGAAACCACTTTAGTTGCCGTACACGCTCGGCAAAAACTCTTGAAACTCAACACTCCGCAACGGCCCTACATCCACAGAGTGACCTTATCCTGTAATAAATCTCTACTTGACCTCCTTTCTAATTACCACAAAACTAGGATTGCGCCCCTCCCCGCGCCCTCCCCGGTGTCCTTGCTCGGCCCCCTCTCTGTACCTCTCCCCGAACGTCTGCCGGCGGCCCTCTCGGCGTTCGCTGCGGAGTCAAGCGGGGGGGTTGCTGATCTATCTGGGCCGCTCTCACCCGCCAAAAATTCACAGGCAGGCCATTGTTCGGTTGGGTTGCTGCTCTGATCGCGGGGACAGGCAGGGGATTGGGTTGCTGCCGATTATTGAGACGCTGCAGCCGATTGATCTCACGGGTCAAGTCGTTCAGGTACTGATGATTAGGCGGTTGACCAATGTACTGCCTCTGAATCCGATGCCTGAGAGTAAGCCCCTTTCCTTCATTTATCTGTCGATTTCTGCGAGCAATTATGCGAATATTCTCCACTTCCGCAGCGGTAGGTGAATCTGCGCGTTCCATCTCTGTTGCTACCTCTTGTTCCTCTTCAGCGGGGAGGCGAAGCATATATGCTGCAATCAACTCTTGCATCTGCCTGTGAAATAGCTCATCGTCGGTCTCCTCTCGCCCAGGCTGACCCGCCGCGGGCCGCAGCCTACGCGGCGCATCAGCGGCGGCGAGGCCGGTGCCTAGGCCGATGATACAGGTTACAGTAAACAAAACAAGATCGCGCATTGACATATCTGTTGCGGTTTTGTGGGGTTGTAGTATAGTATTTATTCGCAGTGAGATACTTGTAGATGTTAAAAATGATGTTGAGATTTTGTGAGGTGTTGGAGAGTGGAAATGAGGGCCGGGGGTAGGAGGAAGGAGAAGGAAGAGAAGGAGGAGAAACGCAATTTGAATAGCAAGCAGTTTTTTGGGGGACAGAGCTTCAAGTTTATTATGGGTGAGGTGTCATCTTCTTTGATTGATTAGGAGATTTTTCGGTGTCCTATTGTTTGATAGAATGTGGTCTTATTTACGTGGCACTCGCTGCGGATTCAGAGATGGGTATTTCGGAATGGAGGCATCTGTCTATATATCTATCTATCTGCAGATCTTAGATCGATACAGTTCGAAGAATAGTCTACAAATATATTCTGCTAATCTATAGATGTAGCCCTCGCTATTAAACTGAATGTAACTAGTATAAATCAAGAGATAGTCTCAGGAGGTAATGGGATCCTAGTTATACTTGTACACAGGCTGTAGAAGATCAATGAGAGGCAGTAGAAGGGATAAGATTCGAAACTTCAGATTCTGTGTAATTAAGACCGTATATATGCTATTGGCCAGTAGTATAAAATGGCCCAGGTGGCACCCCAGAGAGTCCATCTATGCACTATCTTTCGATTCCTGAACTGTTGAGACTTTAATTGGTCGAGAGTAATTTGGGTGGACAATTGATGCATGGAAGCAAGGGTCGGATCGTGTCTACTAAATTTCGGGAAAAGTGCATTTACACGCTAAGTCAAAAATTCCTATTGGTTGGCATAAGTGGAGGTGGCCTGAGTTGAGCTTAAATGAGTCAGGGCAAAGAATTGAGGTAAAGTATAATATAGCTGCCCTCTGCCTCAGAGGTGTAGTACCTATACCAAACTGACGTAGAGGCTATTGCACGTGAAGGCAATGGACCACAGGCACCTATATTCACACCTAGCCACTCGCCATCCTCTTTCTTGTCCGGAAATAAAATTAAAAGCCAGTATTGCAGACCCCCAATGCCAGTGGACGACCGGCGGTGGAGACTTTAAGGTTTGTGTTGGGGAAGAGCAGTGCCTAGAGCTTGAGATGGCTCAGTTTTTGGGATAAAAAGCTCGGGTTGTTCAGGATTACGGGCTAGGCTCGGAGCTAGGCTCGAGCTGCTGTTATTATACCTGAAAAAAGCTGTATTCATAAGCCTTTGTTTGTTAAAACACGAAATCTGAGTACTTGTCTTGATTTCATTGCATTATACAATCGACCCAAGCCTTTCCGGCTTTTGGTCGAGCTGGCTTGAGAGCTCGAGTCAGCCCGCCTGGTGCCCAAGAGTATATAAAATTAATGTGGGGTGGACTTCATCCCGAAGGTTCCTTCATGAAACCTTAACCTATAGCTACCCTCACCAGAACCTCTAAAAATATTACCGACAGTCTAGAGGCAAGGTTATTATATGCGATCAAGAAGGGGATATAACAACCATCGATATCATCACCCGTTGGGAGTGAGTCTAAGTGTCCCCAGTTCAATAGAGATGATAACATTCACCGAAAAACCAGAGAGAGTTGAATATACACAGAAAAGCCGATGCAAGCCAACGCAGACCGAGACGCCGGGAGACCCGAAACATGTAGTCAAAGATCCGCAGGGGGGGTAGACTTCTCATGCCTGGATAGAATTTAGCCCTGAGGGATAGATATGCCACCTTTGATGTAAAAAGCCTACCAGGACGTTCTAACTTGACTTTTCTGGCGCTTTGTGATCCGTTGCGTAAATAATGTGCCAAACGTTAGATCATGGACAGTCACTCGCGTTGATAGTAGCGAGTGATAGCTTATGATCCAGAAGTCGACCTTTCTTTTTTTTTTCTCTTTTATTTAATTCATTAATTCCCGGAAGACAATCATTATAGGCAGCATGGTTATTAGTGCGGGGAGTTGGATTGTAATATAAGTTGGCTGTAATGTAGTTCCATGGCCTTTGAGAGATCCCGATGCGCAAGGAACGTTTCGATTGCTTCCTACTAAAATACTATGCGAGGATTTATAGCTGGGGCATCCCGGTGACCAGTAATCCTTGGTGCAGACAAATAGCGCGCAGCCAGAGTTTTGTTCCATGAAAATTACATGGCTCGGTGGCTTTATCATACTGGAGAGCAACAAGGAAGGGTGCTTTATACACCAGAAACGCATAGAGTAGCAAGAACGTTCCAGGCCATAGCTACAGATGCGTACACGATGCGTTAATCAGGTCTCTGGCTATCTATATATGAGCTATCTAGAAAGACATTTCAAATAGGGTAAAAGGAGTAGAGCTTGCAGTATCTTATAGGGTAATGCAGTGGCCAGACGTGGCGAATGGTGAATGGAGAGTTTTAAACCAACTATAGGGGTGATGTCCGGCCAAGCCAAAGGGGTCGGTGAGCTTATGTTGACTCGTGTTGGCTTTGCCGATCAATTCGCCATCGGGAAAAGCTTGAAACTGTCCTAGATACATACATGTAGTCAGTACTCAAAAAGAAATAAAATATTGACCTCGACGGGCTTGGTATCCAGTCCAACCTTTGGTGACATGATGCCGATCGAAGATGAGGGCTAATGCAAGTGGATTCAAGGAGCCTATTCGTAGTCTGGGAAGCTTGTGTTTCTACTAGTCGAACTTCCCCAAACCAAAGTCTAGCCATGTTCCGATCCTAGAATGTCTTCATCTCTGAACTAGTCCCGTATTCTACCCTTTTTATAAAGTAGCGGGCTATCTGCTCTTAGAGTCGTAACTCTGCGAAGAGAGTAGAAATGAAGCTTAAGACGGAAAAGCTCTATTGATGCCGGATGAAGAGCGGGATTCGCGGTAGATTTGCGGGGTAGGCTGCTGAAATGACTCATGGCCCAGTGCTTGAAAACTAGGAATGTAGTTGGAGCCTGTTTGTGAGTCATGTTCCTCGGTGTATTTTCTCACGCAGTGTTGATCTGGAACATTTACGAAGAGCTTTCAGACTGAACGCATTTCGTTGGAACTTATTACCGACGGTTATTAACCTCATATGCTGGGTAGGATAATTAGCACAAATAGGATATACTCTTGTTTCTACCAGTTCTTTGTTTGTTGAGGAGGCCCGTGAATATATACGTACAGCATATTGGTCATCTCGTTCGGGCGATGGGTTCGATTGTTGATCCATGGCGGATACCACTTGTCGTGGCTATGGTCTTGGGCTTTCGTGACGAAGCGTGGGAAGTGGCCGAACGACTGATCATAAGACACTTGTCTCTGTTTTCCTCGAGCAGTCTCGTGCACCACACTAGTCCTTCCGTGAAAAGATGGGGCAGAGATACATGTAATAGAGGTGACGGGAAGATACCCGTCCTTGTATCTGCATTGTTTCAAGGGGAGGGGGGGGGGGGGGGCGCGCGTGGTAACAAGAGGTTGGTGGGCATGATGTACGTCGTGGTATTAGAAATTATCAACGCAGCCTAGGGTTAGGTGTACTACTAGCTTACGTGTCTCTCACTTCCCTTAAATATTACTTCCGGCACATTAAGTTATGTGTGGGCGAGGTGTGGTCTAAGGGTAGACACCTCGTTCGGGGATGATACACTACACCGTAGCGGTCGTTCCCATGTCCATCGTTAGGCCATGGGTTCGATACAGGGGTGGGAGGGGTACCTGATAGGGATGGTATAATAACTCGACATTCAATACCTATATGTCGAAAAAGGCCATACGCACGCAGCGAGACTTTTTGTTCTTTTTGTTTCGATTGTTCTTTTGTCTATTTTTCGCACTTCTGAAGCGGGGTTGGGTGTACGATGTTGGCGCCCGATATGGGCTTTTGTGGGACCAAGTTTTAAAACTAGACCCCTTTGGGAGCTGGCCTTGTAGAAAACAACGTTTCGATAATCCTCCGTTAGTGGGTGGGGGGCGGAGACATTTCGAAACAGAATTTTAAGCGAAAAAGTAGATCGAAGTTGCTTATTGAAAACGTTTGTTTTCATGGAGTTAACGTTGTTTTCTGCCCCGCAGAATGGGTCGCCAAACACAACATATTTTCCTTAGAACAGAGTTTCTATGGAAGGTGGTAAGCGCACACGTACACGTAACATCCGTAGACGCGGAGGGGGCACAGCCGGCTCTCGTGATAGTGGGACTTCATACAGTGATAAGCACATAAGTAAATACATGTAGTGTGTGTGGTTCAGGAGGCTATCAAGTTCGAGGCCTGGAGGCAAACCCTCGTGCCAGTATTACAAAAAACTAAGATTTTAATGAATCTAAATATAGTAATTATCTTTCCGAAGCTAGCTCGAGCACTTCGAGACACCATCTTTTTGACGAGCAAGGAAAGGCCAGGATCAAATGAGGAAGAGGCACCTCGAGGAACTTGTATCTACTCGCCTCAAGGCTCGAGCAACCTCGTGAACTACAATAAAGATACATAAAAACAACCCGGAGTAGAGTTTCACCACAAACCTGCCGCTGGAATCCCATACTACTGCGGGGCTACAGCACGCGCGATGACAGAACTCAGAGTCATAGCATCCTCATTTTTTGGCTCGAAACTGGTGACAATCACGGTATTGAAGTTTACCAGTGAGAGGGTGGAACTGGTGGGAGGGCGGTTTGACCTTTTCACTCCAGTGTCCAGCTGGAATCTCGCAGCATTAAAGAATGTTCTGAATGTGAAGAGAAGAGAAGGATTGGTGCAGACTAGTGGCTGTGATGGTGCACTTGGGCGGGAGTAGGACGTGAAGTTGATGCTGCTTGGATGAAACGACCCGAACACCACGACCTATCATGCATGGCGACCACAGAGAGGAAAATAGTAAATTACAAAGTGACAGGTATTTCCAGAGAAACTGTCGTAGCATATGGTGTGCCACAGATAAAGTATTTAGCTGTCATGGTGGACTTGTTCATGAATTACGTGAGGCATCCAAGTAGAAGATCATAATCTCAGGAGTCACAGCGTAAAGGACTTAGAAGTTTTCTTCAAAAAAAAAGGTTTTTTCTTTCTTTTTTTTTTCATTAAACAACTAGACTAAACCAAAGACTACAAGATTCACAGTGCAAGAAAGATGAAGAGTTACTTTTTATAATAATAAATTGTTTTTTTAAATCTAACTAAAAACAAAAGACAAAAGAAATCAAGAAATAAAAATACTAAACTATCTAAGTTTCTCCTCCTCTTAACCGTTTCCAACTCTTGTGCCCATAAGGTCTTTTGGCCACTCTACCAGATTCGAGGAAATCGTTGACAGAGGCTTCGAGCTCGTGAGATTGTAGTTGTAGCTCGCGAGGGGTAGTGGTGTTTTGATGGTGGCCAAGCTTCGATCGTGCCCGTGGTAGTGGTAATGATGGTAATGACGATGATGGTCATGACGATGATGGTCATGACGATGATGGTAATGACGATGTCGAGAATGCTGTGAATTATATAACGCCGCTTTCCTCTTGCCGTGACATTGTGTTGTAGAGCCGTTCGATGCTTTAGTCCAAGAAAACCAAGTCTCTGTTGATGTTTGTGATGGTGTGAGACTTGGTTCCTTTGGTGCATTCGATCCCGCTCCTCTTGACTCTGCGGGAACAGTCCGTCCACGATGCTCCCCTGAAGGTGGTTGAGAACATCGAATTTTTGCTGTTCCGGAGACGTTCCTGCTGTTGCATCTCACGGCGGAAACTGGTAAGATTTTGATTGTTGAGCCCGTAAGGCTGCTCGTCAGTCGCATGATAGTGGTGGTGGTTGCTGGACTGCGGCGATAACTGTTGTTCGTAGGTGTTTGATATACGGCCCGTGAGGCCTAGTCGTCAGTCCAAGCGTGATGGTTACTTGACTGCGGGGGGAGCTGTTGTTCGAAAGGTGTTCGACACCTCTCGCGTCCCGAAGATTGAAGTATTTTTGTTGATTGCCTGTGAGGCAAAGGTAAGACCGATGTCTTTGTTGCTCGTGGTACCGATTCCTCTCTCTGGTGTTGTGGCCGGTTGTTCTTTCTCGCCCTTGTAGGCGGCTCTCCTCATGTCGCCTCCCAGGCGACTCTATTCTCTCTCCCTAATAGGAGACTCTCCCCTCTCTTCCCAACACCCAACAGGACACCTGCTCCTTTAAAGGAAACTTGTTCCTCAACCTCCCCTCTCTCCTCATGCCCTCAAGGGGCGCTCTCCTCATGCCTTCTCAGGCCTCATCCTCCTCTTGCCCATACAGGCCTCAGTCCCTTAGCCCCCCCAGGGCCCATCCTCCACTCGCCCATCAAGGCGTCTCTCCCATTGCCCATCAGGCCTTTCCTCCATCCTCCACTTGTCCATCCAGGCAACATCTCATCCACCTGCCCATGCAGGTAACTCCACCTCATCCTCTCGCCCATAAGGCGACAACCCTCAGAACTCTCCTCTTGCGGGATGGCTCATCACACCATCCCCCCCAGAGCCCACCCACGATACCGCACGCCGACGGACCCAATCCTGGTAGCCCGATGATCGACCACCAGGCGAACACGAACTAACACCTCGAGGTAAGCAGCAACCCCCAAGAGAAATACATACCTGACCCTTTTCACCCCACATTGTCGGCAAATCCACCCATGTTGTCCTCGTCAAGCACAGCCTGGGCACCAGAGGTCTGGCGCGTGAACCTGCCGATTCCCCCTTTGACGCCTCCAAGGAACTCTAGAAACGGCCCCTTCGAACCCCACGTTGGTGGATACCTGCGCATCCGGACTGGATTGGCGCTTACCAATCGCGTCGCTCTGGAATGGTCCGGTTCTGGGGGTGAACTGGTAGATATAAACATAAACACCAGGTAAAGAAAAGACATAGGAAAAACATGGTTTTTATTAAGCCTGTGGCCAGCTGCTGACGTCCATTGGCAGCTAGAGAGTGCCGGAGTCTATTACTCCGGCACAGTGGTTCGCGACCACTCTTTTTTGTTAGCCTGATACACGGAAAACCCTTTTTTAACAGAAAGGAAGAGGTGAATGGCACAGACCTTAGGCTGAGTATTCGTTGGAGAAGATGCTATCCGGTAGCCCATAGGCATCCCGGCGGAAGTGGCAGGCCTGCCACGAAATCGTTAGCCTGATACAAAAAGAAACCTTTTTTTTTTTAAACAGGAAGGAAGGAGAGATTAATACAGACCATTGACCCCAAGAGTAAGGCTTTTAAAAATGCCAGGAGCGCCAGAAAGCTGGCCAGAGGCAAAGAAGCTAAAAGTTGTTGTATGGTTAGTAGTGGTGGTGTTTATGTTTATATCTTTTTTTTTTGGTCCGAAGACCGCCAGCCCCAGAACCAGGATCCGAAGGCGCCGTTAAGCGCACGTTCCCAGCCGGACGCGCCATCCACCAAGGTAGGGACACTTCAGGTCCGCTCCCTCGGAACCCTGGAATTGCCTCCGGGAGAAGCGGCAGGCCCGTTGCCTCGCCACCTGGTGTCCATTCGCGCCCTCCGGAAAGTCGTGGGGGGGTGCTCCCGCTGCGGGGTGGGTCCGGGCCAGGTATGTCGTCCCCTCGGAGAATTGCTGCCTACACCGGTGTGTCAGTAAGTTTTCTCTCCCCCATACCCCGGAAAATCCGTGGCATGGAGGAGCCCGAGCCCGCAGGCGCGACAGTATCTCCCGATGAGCAGCTAGGCTGCCCACCAACCGCCAAATTCCAAACTCGCCCTCTCCCTCCTGCCACGCTTCCGCCGCGCCTTTTTTTATCTTTTTTTAATTTTTATTTTTGGTTGGCCTTTGCGACCCCTTATCAGTCTCCTATAGAAATGTTAGTCTCAAGGCCAATTAAAGTGGAAAGGGAATGTCTAGAACATACGCTTTTGACAGCCCGGCCGAAGCCAGGCAGTTTTGCTCGACTGTGGAGCCGATCCCAATGCCTGCAGGCCAGCAGACATGCTCTTCGCGAGCCAGGTGGTTTGTCTCTTTGGTCTGTTGGAGAATGTTAGAAATGCTAATGATTAAAATGTTGGAAGAGGAAACTGGTACTTACCGTTGCAGCATTTGTGTAGTGCCGGTATAAAAACTACTCCCAAGGCCACCCAGGCATCCGGTGCTGAAGACTGTCGCACCGGATGGTAAATAGATATTGAAATTTTAAAAAATGGTGTAAATGGTGGTTATATGGTGGTAGATGGTGGTGGTAAATGGTGTGGTAGATGGTGGTGGATGGTGGTAGATGATTGTATATGGTTGTATATGGTGGTATATAGTGGTGGTATATGGTATTATATGGTGGTATGTGGTATGTGGTATTATATATTAATATATGGTAGTATATAGTAATATATTGCGATCTAGTCATCATGTTAGACATTTCAAAGTATAAAGGAGGAGTTGACCCGAGTACTTACCAAATCGCTGTTTTTAAACAGCCCAAGTTTCTTTATTCCTTTTTTTTTCCTCTTTCTTTTTCCTCCTTCTCTCACGACCGATCATATGCCGGCCGTGAGACCCGTACCCACAGAGACTTGTTGGTACGTGCCAGAGCGTACGAGGTGGTTGTTGTACACTGGCTATTTCCTACCACGAATGAGTTAGCTAACTGATATATGCCAATTAGAAGAGAGTGCTTACCACATGCTCCTTTTGAGAGCTCGTTCCCATTTCCTAATTCCTCCTCTTGCTATTTCTTCTTATTTTTTACTTTTTTTTTAATTGTTTATTTTTATATCTGACCCGCGTCAGAGCGTGCGGGCCGCGTTGTAGATATGTGGCAGGCAATACCTACTATCATGCTATTAGTAAATATAAACCACTTGTAAATAACTCGAAGAAGAAGGATGCAAGGAGCGTAATAGACACTTACCAATTGGTTCTTTGGCAGGAACCAAACACTCCTCCCAGCCCACCAGCCCAATTGGTGGTGGCGGTGGCAGTGGCAGTGGCAGCGGGAAGCAAAAGGTTGTCGTCCAGTCATCCCCATTCGGGGCGGGGGACACAGCCATGGTCGAGGCGGAAAGATGGTGCTGACCAGTAGGCGGGCTGCGTCGAATCGTGCAGGCCCAAAGTTGTTGGCGGGGGGGAAAGGCAAGGACATATCTGTACTTTTAACTATCACATCATTAGCAATCCATGTCCATGGCAGTAACCAGTAAAACAAGCGGGGAATGGAATACATACCAAAGCACAACAAGATGAAGACGAGAAGCGGGCAGGGAAAGAACTGCCGCTTCAAAAAAAAAAGAAAGGATTTGGGAGCAGTCCCAGAGGGACCAAACAGCATCCACAAGTCCCAAAGGGACAAGACGGCCAACCACGAACCCCAAGACTGCGGGCGGGGAAGCGGGGGCGGAACCAGGGCGGGCAGAGACGACAAACCCAGGCACCGAAGCCAAAACCGGGGTCGAAAAGAGAGCGGGCGCCACAAAGAAAGGCCAGGAAACCGCAAGCCAAACCCCAAAACGACAAGGGGAGCGAAGCCACGAAACCAAGGCGCCGAGAAAGACCGACGGACACCCTGTAACAGCCCCCCAGGCGGGGAGGGCAAGACCGAGACACACCGCAGGCGCAGAAGAGCGAACGCACCACGGGGGGAAAAACACACCGTACTCCTCGCCGGAGGAGCACAGCACACCGAACACCCACGCACCAGCCGAAAACAAAAAACCGAGGCCAGGAGGGAGGGAAGAGACAAACCGAGGCACCGCAAGAGACGGGAGGCACCAAGGACGCGAAGGGAGGCGGCAAAACGACCACCAAACAGGCAGACAGGCTCCCCAGGTAGCAGGAGCCAAACCAGACAGACCCCCAGGCGCAAAAGGGAGGCGCACACCGGGCAAACACACAACCAACCAGCCAGAAAACCGAGGCAAGGCAGGCAGAGAAAGATGGGAGGGAGGGAGAAAGCGCAGGGTGCCAGAGCAGGTGACGCCCCTTGCAACCAACCCCCAGAAGGAACAGGAACAGGAACAGGTGGGAGACCAAGGCAGCCGAGAAGACGGACAGCCACCGAGGCAGAGCAGGGCAGGGCAGGGCAGAGACGAGGGCCGAAAGACCCCAGCGGAGAGACCGCCACCGAAAACCCGCAACCCAGAAGACGAAGGGCCGCAGGCAGAAAAGCGTGTACGGCGCACAGAGCGCCACCGAGACGGGACCAGCAGCGAGACGAGGCCGGCGGACGGACAGGACGGTACCCAAAGAGGGCAGGCACCGCAGCAGAAAGAGGACCCCGAGGTTGCGGGGCAAGACCAGGCCTGCATGCCAAAGAGGCACGGCACACAGGCACACGGCGACCAGAACGACGAAGGCCACCGCAAAGCTCCCCAAAAGGAAGCCAAAAACCGCACCAAGGCGCCCGAAACGACCAACGGGCACCCCAGCACACACAACACAAAACCTAGTCGACGATTGCCTATATGCCCGAGATCTTCACCCGCGGGCAGCCAAGGACTTTCAGCTGCTGACCTTCCCCCCTCCTCCACGAGATGTCCGAGGTCCCCACTTGGCGCCGGTTTCCCAAGCGTAGTGGGTCCCACTTGATCACGAGGAGGTGGAGGTGGTGGCCAGCTTCCAGGCGTGAACATCCCCCGCGCCTTTCCTAAGGGCTTGGGAGATACTGGTGGACAGAGGGTTTGCCAGGCCCAGAGTCCCCGACGTTACAGCATTCGGGAGCCGGTGGGTTGGTATTGGGCCCCAGGTGTGGATGCACCGGTGTGCGGTCCACAGGATGGGATACCGGATTGTCGTTCTGTGAGAGTGATACTATTAGCTATTGATGTTCCAAGATATGCGTAAAGAGAGAAATAGAAGAGACACTGTGGTTGAAGAGAAATCATGAGATACTGTACCTTTGCGGTGATAATAATACTCGTGCCCGCCACACGCCCAGCGGGAGTAGGCTGACCTCTGTCGTTTTCATTTCTCGTCCCCTCAGCATCTCCCTCGCCTTTCCTAAGGGCTCGGGAGATCCTGTTGACCCAAGGGTTTCCTAAGCCCGAGGATCACGACATTACAGTATTCTGAGCCGTTTCCTTTCTGGTGGATCCCAAATGAGGATGCACCGGCGTGCGGTCCCCAAGTGAGATACCAGCTTGTCAGTCTGCAACACAAGTTAGCCAGTGATCTCCACAAGAGTGAGATTATACAAAACAAGAGGCAGAAGGGAAGAAATCCAAAGAGCTGTACAAACCTTTCCTCTGACATTCACCACCGCCCCGCCACACCCAAGCCCAGCGGGAGTAGGCGGAGAGACGCTCTCTCCTCTCCTCCACCGTCACCGTCACTCTCCAGAGAGAGAGATCTAGTGCCGGCGTCGGCGAGGACGCCCCCCCTTTCTCACCTCCTCTTCCCCGCCTTCCTCGACGGTCGGTCTTGGAGGAGCCCGCCCTTGGCCCCTCGAACCCCTTGAAGCCCCCAGATCCCCACGGTGAGGAACCTCCCGGGTCTCTTGCCGCTGTCCACCGCCACCACCACTACCACTGACCTGACGGCCCGCAGTAGGAGCAGCAGCAGCAGACGGCTGCGCGATTGCCGGGGAGGCGGGATTCGTCACTGGGCGCGACCCCACCGAAGTGAGGCCGCCCCCTCCGATGGTGCCCACTTCCTCGCGGGCAGCATTGGCCGCAAGCCTGGCCGACCGCCGCGTCGACGATGCCGGCGTCGCATTGCGCCCCGGACCCTCCACCGGTGCAGCAGCAGCAACAGCAGCAGCGGGTGTCGCTGGCGGCAGCGCCGCCGAGCGCGGGCGCTGCTTTGGGGCCGCTGCTGTTGGGGCTACTGCGGGGGTCTCCTTGGGCCCAGAGACGCTCTGCTCCGCGGTGGCTGGTGCCGCTGCGTCGGCGGCCTTGCGAGCAGCCTCCGCTCGCAGGTACTTGTCCACCACGAGCCACTGCTCGCTCGTGATGATTGCACCCGCGGCTCTCTGTTCGTTCACCCAGCACGGATGACCGGCGGGCCATCCTCCTGCCGGGCGCTCGAGCTCCCGCTGTGCACGGAGCGCATCGCGCACCCCTTGTGGCGCCAATCTCGCAACGTATTTGGCAAGCGGGTCACCGGTCACTGGCGCCTGTTGCTCCTGCTCCCGGACGACCGGCGCTGGGTCCTCCACGGCCGCTGGGTCCTCAGCGGTGCCTTCTTCGGCGCCCCCTTCTTCTGCCGTGGCTCCCCCCTTGGCCTTCCTCCTGCGCTGGCGGGGCTTTTTACGGCCACCTCCAACCTCAGGGATCGTGCCGGGAGGGCGACAGAGGACGGGTGCAGCCTCGGGCTGCTTTGGCACCGCGGGCGTGGCGGGCAGCGTGGTCGGCGGGGGAGCGGGAGCGACTGGTGCCTCCGGGACCCGCCCCTCATTGCTCTGGACAGCCCAGATGCTCTTGGACATTCCCAGCACCTCCGGGGCTCGTGGTTCCTCCACGGCGGGCACCGCGGTGGCGCCGACGAACGGCGTCGGGGTTCCAAAGGTGTCACCTTGGAAGGCCCATGCTTCACCGGCGGTTGGAGGAAAGACTCCGACCCTCGACACCCCGATGACTTGGCTCAGGATGGTGGGCCTGCCCTCAGTCGGCGCGCCCCGCCCGAGCACACCGTACAGTGCGCCACGAGGGAAAAATGTGCCGGGCTCGCTGGGGGCAGGCACCAAAGGGAAGATGTCTCTCCTCGGCCGCGGGGCAACGGTCCTTCTTCCAGTGGCAGCCAATGGGGAGCCCTTGGCCGGCTGGTCATGCGCCACGATTGGCGCCGCTGGTGCCGCGGTGGTGGGAGCCTCGGGGACGGTGCTGGCGTCGCCCGTCTTCACCGTCTCCTCGGTGTCCGCCGTGGTGCGCGTATTCTCCGCCGTTTGCGGATCCGCCGTTTGCGTTGTCTCCGCCGGACGCGCCGAAGGGAGATCCGCCGTTCGCGACACATCCGCCGTGTCCGCATGCGCTGCCGTGTGCTGGGAGTCTGCCGTGGAGGAGTCCGTCATCGGCACGGCCAGCACGGGAACTGGCGCCTCTGGAAGGTCCTCATCCCTTTGGACCGGTGCCTCGGGGAGGGCGTCGGCCAGTGGCGCCTCTGCGGGCTCTTCCACAGCTCCGACGGCCTCGGACTCGCCCTGTGCCTCGGAGACCGAAGCCTCCTCGGCCGTGTCCATCAAGTTACAGTCAACACTGATGTCTGATGGACCGGGGGAGCCAGAGGGGCTGCCTGTAGAACCAGGTGCGTCAGTATGTGTTTGTGTGTGGAGTTGCAATGGGCGGGCACCGGTGTGACGATCATTACCGGTGCAACGATCATTGACAGGGGTGGAAGGGAGAGAGAATGAGTGGAGACTTACCCTCGACGAGGTCCGTGACCTCCGACAAGGCGGTACTCCCTTGTACAACCACCTCTATAATGACGTTAGCTATGGGTTTATATGAAATAAGAGTGAGGGAGAGGGAAAGACGGAGAGGGGAGAGGTAGCGAGAGAAAGAAAAGAGAATAAACATACCGTTCTCATACGGCCAGGTCAGCAGCAGCATGGGCCGTGTTTCCACAGCCCCGACCTCTTCGGCCGCGATAACGCCCACCGCTGGGACGCTGCTGCTGGGCCTGTATAAGACGAGGGGCCAATCCTCGTCAGGGAGAAGAGTATCCGCCGCAAGAGCGAGAGTCTCCTCCTCCTCCTCCTTGCCGGCCCCCACTAAATGGAGGACCAGCGCAGAGTCCGACTCGACCCTGCTCCTTACGACACACCCGGGGACCCTCTGTCGAGCCGCGACTGTGTGACGATTAGTTATGTGCTCACATATATAGATATCATGAAGAGACATCACAAAGGGAGAGAGGGAGAACTTACACGCATCATACAACCGGATCAGTAGGAGCCGTGTCTCTGTCACGGCCCTTCCCTCACCGGCTTGGACATGACCCACCGCTGGAGCCATGCCCTTGTACAAGACGACGGGCCAATCCTCGTCCGGGAGAGGAGTCCCCACCGCCAAAGCAAACATCTCCTCCTCGTCCTCCCCGGTCCCCAACGGGTCCAGGTCAGAGTCAGACTCGACACTGCCCAAATGAACGAAGCGCCTCTCCTGATCCTGGAGAAGGCGCAAAACAAACTGTCTGACCATCCGGAGATGGAGATCATCAGGACCAACCACACCGTGCCCCCCTCCGCTGGCGACGTCGATCACGACCCGGTAAGGGCGTGGTCTGGGGGGTCGGCGGCTCCTTTCCCGCGCATCACGCACCTCGCGGCGCGCAACGGCGAGGAGGAACCGGCGGAACAGAGCCCGGCTGCGGTAGTAGGCGGCTTCTTGGTACCGGACCAATTGACGAGCTGACGAAGCCCCGCCCGTATACTCGTCCCTTCTCCGCTCCGTGCAGACCTCGGAGACCCTTTGGAGCACCGCAAGCATGGCCGCAGCCACACTCACGGGCCCTTCCAGGGCAGGAGGAATGCGGTGTCCCTGCCAGAGCACCAAAGCCAACGACGCCGGAGCGACGCTGGGGACAGGCGCTGAGACAGCAACTGGAGGGGGGGAAGGGAGAGACGGGAGGGCCTCGAGCAAGTCGGAGAGCCCGAGCCAGTTTCCAGGGCACGGCCGAGTAGCGCGAGCCACAGGGACAGGCCGAGGAGCTAGCTGCGGGCTTTGGGCCCATGCTTCAGACACACGGCTAATGAAGCGCTGCCTTGCCAGAGCCTGCGACTTCGCCATGATATCTAGCTGCATGAGCTTTTCGCAGCTGATGGGGGAGAGGGAGGGGGAGGGGGAGGGGGGGGAGTGGCCAGAGCGGAGACCGCAATTGTCGGGCGCGGAGCAGCGGCAGCATCGTCCATCATCTTCAAGAGAAGAGATTCGAGCCTTCTGCACCTCCTCTCGACGGCCTGGATGAGCCGCGCATCCTTTTGCACCGGCTGCGTCACAGCGCGGCGCACAGGTGCCTGCGGGCCCACAGTAGGTCCGATCGGAGGCGCTTCCGGCTCGGAGTTGGCCTGCGCTCTGAGGCGCTCGCGGCGGGCGGCAATGGCGGCGGTGGCGTTCTCCGAACTCTGCCAGGGAGGGAGCACTTCCTTTGCGTCGTACCAGAGATGCCCCACCTTGGCGCGCTGCCCTTCTGGACGGGGTGCAGCGGGGGGGGCCGTTCTCTTGCCGCGGAACGGTTCCACATCGGGCCGGCGTGGTACGGACCGGTCGGGAAGGCGGGGTCGAGGGGCGGGAGGCGGAGGAGGCGGAGGCGGAGGAGGGGGGGAGGAGAAGAGAGGGCAGGGAGAGGAGAAAGAGGGGGAGAGGGAGGGGGGGGAGGGTCGAACATGGTCGATATAGCAGATCCCATGATCGTGCTATTCGATGATGTTGGTCGCGGTGTGAGTGTGTCAGGCTCGAGCAGGAAATTCGATAGTTAAGAAAAAAGAATTTGTTGCCAAATTTTTAGTCGAAAGTAAAGAATTCCAGAATGACAAGGAGAAAAAGAAGGAGAAGGAGGGAACGAGCAAAAGATGGGAGGGTGGGTCTTTTTCGCTGGAGATTGGGAGTTTCTCTTGGCACTTTGGGGGGGAGATAGTCACTATCGAGGGGGAGGGAGTCACGATGACGGGGGTAGCTCGACGAGGAGGAGACATTTTACAATTCTGAAAAGGCCAGAGGCAGGGCAAGGACCGTGGGCATCTGTCAGTAAGTTTGCGAAAATCCATCTGCGTTATTGGTGATGCTGGCTGTGGATATGTTGGAAGATATTGCCCAAATGTGACTCTTGCACAATCCTTATCACAGATTATAACACATGACCGTCACCAAGAACCTGCCCCACCACAGATGCACCGAAAAAGGTCGTAAAATTACGCTTTCAACGGCGTCCAGCTCCGATAAGTGAGCTGTATCTATGTATGTTCATTTTATCCATGCCAGGGATGTAGCTGTAGCCCCTGAGATTCCTGCGAGGCGGTCATTGACGTGAGGTTGGGCGGATTTACCCTGTCGTTGGGACGCTAGCCGCTTGGCAGCGGGACTTCAACGGTCCTGGGAGGGAAATTTGTAAAACAGGAGGAGGATGGGCAGCGTGAGCGTTTGGAGGGCACTTGGGAGCGGTTGTTGGCTGAAATGTGGGCGTGAAAGGTGGAGTTCGGTAAAAAAAAATGTGAACGTAACCCGCAGTTTTCGTGTTTTGCACTTTTTGTTTCACGCGGTGCATGGAGATTTAATTTCTTCTCGGCTACAGAGTTCAATTACATGATCCTTGGATAGATAGACAAGTGAAAGAGAAAAAGATGATGGCTCTCCTCTTTGCTGCTTTAATCATACAAACTCAACCCATATAACTGCTCACGATATCTTTACAATAGGCACTGAGGACAAAATTGGAGGGGTGTAGTTCACGGTACTTAGCCTGATCGACGAGATGATCTTGTGATTGACTAAGGGAGGCTGTCTGCCCATATGGATCTATCTCCAACATTCTACTCGTTTTTTGTGGTTGATCCTACGATTTTCTCTGTGGCGGGGTAATTCTGACTTTTACATTTTTTCCCCGCTTTTTTTTCCGCATTTTTTTTTTCTTTTTTCTTTTTTTTTTTTCGCTGCGTAAGTACATGTACCTAAGCGATCTTTCCCTCTCAAGGTCGGGCACACATACACATGAAGGCAGCGGTTGCAGCTGGGTTGGTATGTTGCAAAAAGTTCGAAAAATGAGTGATATTTGGTGATCCGGCCGAGGCATGGCCTTTGCTTGCAATCGGGGTGAATTACGCGTAAGGACAAGAGAACATAGAATTGACCAGAGTAGAGTATCAATAGTCTTGACTATATTTAAGCCTAAGTCAAGTTTTCAAGTCACAAAATGTGACAAGACGACAGGAGAGCGCTCGTGGTATATATGTCTCGTTCTCTCCCGTTGCCATACTCGCACGCCATGCGTGTTGGTTGAGATTGACAGAAAGTGCAAAAGAGAATCATCTTGTCTCTTTCTTGCTTTGATCAATGAATGCTCTGGGGAGAATCTGGCAAAGCACAAAGGCTAGATATGGTTACATAGAGGAAAGTATACATTTACAAAGGCTCTTCGTCGTTTCCGTTTCTTTCTCAGCTCCTTAGAGCCCTCGTAGCGCTCTCTACACACCAGGAATGCCTAAGTCGCAGTGTCCCGAGACATAGCAAGGAGTTGACCCCGTTCTATCCAGATCGAGCGAAAATGGAAAAACATCCACATCTAAGTTGCCACCTCAGAATCTGTGCGGAGCCGGCTTGATAGTGTTATGTCTGGCCTGGCTGTGCATGTAGGCGTTGTGCTGCTCTTTCACTAAGACGCAAATTCTTTCCATCCTGAATTTTTGGTATGTTATTTCTTCACCTTATCTTTAATCTTTCTGCCGTTCTACGTTCTACCCATCCCAAACATCCACAGTTCCGGTCTCTTCTTGTAGCTAGGTCTAGAGTTGGTGGACTGTCTTGCAACTTGTGGTCAGTCAGCCAAAGGCTCGAAAGCAAACAAAACCAACCATTTAGCGGAGTAGATGTGCAACTCGTCAGAAAGCCCCAAAGATACCCATTAGATGGACCTACACCTCATAGTACTCCACTTGGCCAAAGGATGAGGCATGTCTCCACATTTCGTCCTTCCTAGTTCGCTGCGAAGACTCTTCCAACGCTACTTCGGTATGGGAAGTCGGCCGTTCTAGTAGCAGAGCTCGAGGTAGACTTCTGTATCTTACCGGCCGATTGAATCTGGATCAGTAGCTACGCTGATTCCTTGCGGTCAGATTGGAATCTCGATAGAGGGGCGCAGGCCAGAGAAACGGAGGTTCGTTCTTTATACTTTCTTTCAAGACTAGAGACCTCAACCCCACTACGCACTTCCTCCTTCTTGGCCGTTTACCTGCGGTTTTTCCCGCTACATGAGAGAGATCGAGGTTATGCTCTCATCTAGCAAGCCTGCTTCGGAAGTGTCCGGCTGTGTGATTCTGCCTTGGAAGCTCTGCTACTCGTTGTGGTTGTGGTTGGTGTTGTGGTTGCTGCGGTGTTCTGTGTGGTGGAGTGTTTTTGACTTTGACGTTTTTTTTCTCTGCTTTTTTTTTCCTTTCACCCGCCCCACTTAGTGACGGGGCAGCACATGAGCAAGGGTACAGACGAAAGTGAGTGAAGAGTAAGACTAAGGGTTTTTCGTCTTTCTTCGACTTGACGAAACGGATAACAACTACTTGTACTCATGATGTGATGGAAGTCAATGAGTTAGAGTGAAAGGAAAACATCTCAAATAGGGCCTAGATACATATACTTACTACATGTACATATACATGTACTTACTACATATAGTATGATCCATAGCGTAGCCTAATCGAGTTAGTGTTTATCGCCTGCCCTTGGCGTTCAAATACCACCTCCGGCCGACAACACACATGGGTGAGTGGCCTAATTGGTAACATTCGTCCGAAAAACACCGTGCGATTGCGCCCAACTCGATTACAGAGGGGACCGAAAGGTCTGGGGTTCGAAACCAGGGGTGGGGGTAGTAGATATGGGTCTGGCCATATCTGCAGTACCTTTTGTTCTTTTTATGGATAACTAAGATGTCGATTTCTTCTGTTTTTAATTTCTTACCTCTGTATGTTGGTTTACCTCTTACTTTCACTGTCTTTTTTTTTCTTTTTTTTCTTTTTCAACCTTCCCCTTCCACGTTTTCCCTTCAAATTGGTGCAATCCTTGTCTCCCCTTTGGTCGGCGAGCCAGCTAACAAACTAAGGCAACCCACTCCCACGCCACCTAGCTCACCTCTCCAAAGATCTCAGCGTATCCCGCTGGTGTACAAAGTTGGCACCTCATCCTGCCAAAAGGTTTCTACCAGTGAACGCAGATCGGGGATCGGTTCTGATTAGATCTTTCCAAGCTTCAAAGTACTTGCGTTTATCCTTTTATCTTTTTCCCCCACAAGTTGCTGGCCTGGTAATTATCGATTGGATGCTCTGTTTTCTCGTACATGTGTAGAGGTCAAAAAGATTCTCGCCACTTCCGTACCTTCCCGGCTTTCCTACCCCCTCCTCCTCACAAACAACACAAACCTACCTCCAAACGTATACTGCCACGCGAGGAGATAGACCACTCATCTCCCATAGCCGAGGAATTACCGAATAATATACATCATTTCGATCCCACACCACAGGCACGGATGACCACCTGATGGTCGAGAGCGAGGCAATGCTTACATTCACCTGGTTACTTGTGCCCTTTGTGCACTGGGCAACTCAGAGCTATGCTGTTCACCATTACATCTACAAAGGCCGGACGTTGAAAGTACTTGAGTCCACTAAAAACGAGGAAAGGCCTCTTTGGCTGGAGAATGCTGCTATCTGTCGGTATAATAATCTCTGCCAGTATAACTTAATGCCCCGTCTAACTGAAAGTAGATTCCTATTCTGGACGATTTATCATCGACGCTCTTTTTAGATGATGTACCCATATCTCTCCGATCAACAGGCTATATGCACCGTCGCGTCCAGATAGAAGACGCTGAATCTCGGCATCCCAAGCGCTATAATGAGATTTTTCGGCTTAGGGAATTTCAGTTCCGTATCTATCGGCTTGTCATCTGTCTTTTCCAGCCCTGTATACTCTCCGGTCCTTGGTGTAATCCATTTCATCACACCGACATCTATCCTTATCAGCTCATTCCCGAGCCGGGAATGTTACCTCGGTGAACAGAGTCCAGCTACACTTACATTCAGGATGGCAACTTTGCCCTGGAAGCACACTTTTGTGGCATATCGTGGGAGGCGTTATATGCGGATAGGCAAAGGTAGCGGGTAAAGTCAGGAGCTGGCTTGGGAGGTGTATCCCGTACCAGAGCCGTGGACTATCTTGCTGGTAGCAAGGACTACACCAAACAGAATCGATAATCTAATTAGATCCACGGGTGTGTGTGTGGGTGGGGGGGGGGGGGGGAGGGTAGTGAAACATATAGACTCCGATCGTTGATGGTAACGATTTCATGGTATGCTGTTAGCGTGGCTCATCTGTTCAGCTCATATTGGAGGATGCATTCAGCAACCTGAAAACCCACGCTGCAGTAGGAACGGGTTAGTTGTTGGCAAAGCTCAAACACAACTAAATCCGAGTGGTGGAGGGTTCGTGAAGCCAGAGTTGCGGTGACCTGTAGATAGTTTCAAGGTTCAGTCTATGAATTGAAGCTTGAGTGTTTGAGCTTTGTATAATGGGGTACTACTATCGGTAATCATCATCATCTAAAGAAAATGCAGTTAATAAGTTAATATCAATGGAATTGTAGGTAATTTAAGGGCGAAACAATGCATGTTACTTGAAAAAGATCTACCGGAGTCTGCTGGCTTCTTACCAGTGGTAAAATACTTCCGGCGCGAAACGCCTCATGCCGATAGAATATCAGGCCAGGTGGGTTGTCGTTGATAGAGCCCTTATTTCAGGCACTAACATATCAACCTGTAATCAACAACCGGGGGATTGATTCATGTAATATGGAACTAGTGCATGAGCAACACGTAGCAATCACGTTTTGGCACCGCATCTTCTTTATAACGGCGCAACTCTGGTACCATACCCCAGATCATGACCGTAAACCCAAAGAAATTGTTAAATTCTTTGGTTCGACAACGAAGGATTCACCCCTTGGCTGTTCAGGGTGTTTCGGGCCGCTATGTAGCAATGGCTTCGTTAGGTCAAGCCAAGTGGTAAAAGTTGAGCTTGCCTTGGCCAACCAAACGTCGATTCAGACCTTGGTCGGTTGTTAAGTTTTTTGTTTTGTTTCATGCTGAAAAAGGCGCCTCTACTAAATTCTCGGGTCCCTGTTGCCGCTCATATTCAATACCCCCCTAATGAATTGAGTAGGGACTCACTCCGGAAGACACGAAGGGCATGATATAGGATATCTCGACTTCAGATGAACGCCGAGCTCCAGATGGATATTAGAGTGCAATGTACTTTATTATACGATGCTAGTTTTTGACTGTGTTGGTTCCTAGACAAGAAAGAGCAGAGTTTCTGTCAAAGAAACAAGGGGTATCAGTGATCTCTAAAAACACATTGGTTTCTTGAGAAACCTGTCGATCACTCGCTTTCCCAGCAATAGTTTCAACTTTTCGATCTGAGGCGTCCGCATGACTGAACGTCGTTGGCTCACAAATTGAGGAAAGGACCTCAGAAACTTCGCCTTCATAATGGCAGTAAACAACGCCCCGGGTGTCTGCTTCTCAAGTCATGCGCAACACCAAATGGTCTCATAGCCCATGGTCATCCCAATCCATAGTAAACAGTCCAGGTCCAGAAGATAAATGACACCATACTTACAGTAAAAGCTCCGATTTGCGCCCTAAAAAGTATAGGTTCACCTGTCTTGAACGGCTGCTCATAGCAGGTCGAGTGATATTATATGAACTTGATGTTCTGCACGATCAACAGCTTTAAGTGTTCTACTAATCATGTTTCAGAAGTACTGATTATGACTTGGACGTCTTGGAATAGAATAGTTCTCACTTTGTAAATAATTTTCAAAACTGTCGTAAGCTAAGATCGAGTGATATCTTGTGACCGCATCACCCTGTCTTGTTCGGCGAGTGATAGCTTGTGACCACATGCCCGCAATATCCCTAACCCATAGGGGGTTTTGCGATTCATCAATTTTGGAGCTAGTAAGGAATAGATGGCATAGAAAAAGGTTAATTTGGCTCCCATACGAACCTGAATGACGCAAATACAAATCGGTATGTTCGAGGACAAAGTATTTATCCGGGAGATGGACACCTGTTTTGATCAGTGAGAACATTAAGGTATCTGCATCTTCTCGTTATTAGGCAGAGTAAGGAGCTCTCTTGAGAATTCGGGAATCTCCTTTGTCACTTGAATGCCGCCTCTCCTTGATATTTCATCTTTGCGGTGTTCGCCAGCTATGTGATGTGAAAACCACCGTTTTCAATGAGAGAAAAGTAGACCTTGAAGACAAATTTCAGGCGAGAGTCGAGAAGCTTGAAATAGGCGGTCATTTATATAGGCCCAATTCCCCCTACAAACAGCTCATCATTCAAACATCTCGTATTACAACCGGCGCAATACAAACAAATTACCTCCGCACTCCGTTCAAATCAACATACTCTTCTTTAGCGATCTAACCTTGAAACCTCATAACATACACCATGCCCCGCTTTCGCCCAATCGACGCTGAAAAGCCCGCCACCCGACCACAGAAGTGGAACGGCAACACTTATATTCGCGCCGAATTCAACCATCGAGCCGCACTCTACATCCGGCGCAACGAGTACCCACCCCTCCTCCCCCCTTCATTCTTTCATCCTCCCCGCAGAGTAGGAACCGAACTAACACGAACTTCCACCAGAAAATTCAATAACGAGGCACGCATCATCAACCGGAAGCGGTGCAAAGGGCTTGTTGCCGCGGGCTATGATTGGCCGCCGAATGGGCTTATCAGGTTGGTCGACCCAATCAGCGGAAAGGCGTGCGCGGAGGCGCCATTTAGGCTGCAGCATTTCAACTCTCTCCCACTGTCTGACTTTCTTATAATCAGCATATTTTATGGCCTTGGCTGGAACCCAAATCTGGCACCCGCTGTTATTTCCGTGGGGCCGTGGCATACTAGGGCCGAGATGATTGAAGAGTACAGGGCGTTTATAGGCGCTAATTATGTCTGAGGGGGAGACGGTTTATCGTTGTGCTAGAGATGCAAATGGAGATGCAGTGTAGTTGGTACTTTAGTGAAATTGTGATGCGCTTATACTCAGTCATTAATTAAAAGGTCGGAAATTTTAGAAAGCATTTGGTTACAACGATATCCGACCATTTAATCAACGCGCGAGTATTTAATTAGGATGCAAAAGTCTTTTAAAAATTAAATCTGTTTTCGAAACCTATATCGTTAATGAGCTCTGTTCCTGGTGAGTAAGATTCGCCGACAAATTACGACTTACAATTTTATCATTTCTCTTATGCGCTTCATGCACGTTTGGTAGACAGGCATAATTTTGGAAGGCCTTGGGATTTTCAATCCGTCGGCCGCGGGCTTTGGGATGGTGATGGGATATTGGGCTCGGAACATTCAAAACGCAAGAAAGAAAAAAAAAGAAAAAGGTATTAAAATTAGTCACTCAGCGTTTAAATAACTTCCTCCATCGTTTATGATGCGTGATTTCCTAAGTGTAGATCGAGTTGACATTGGATCGCCTGTAATTAGTAAGTACGTTCACCACCTAGGTAGTACGTTCCCGCAACAAAGAAACATGCGAGCCGAAGAACAAGTAATAAACACAAAAGGTTTGTTCCTGAAACCCGACAAAAGATCACAACCAGCACTTTGATCTTTCCTTGTCGCATTGTGCGCACTGATCCATTGGCATTCTGTCGAAGGTTATAAGGAGGACTCCCCGCACCACGTTCATGCGGTCTGCACTGCATTATACCTCACAAAGACCCCGAATTTCATATACGAAGTATATTACACAAGTTGAAAAGCCATAATGCCGCCAGCACCAATACCTGTCCCTGTGCCTGTACCTGTCCCTGTCCCTGTACCTGGACTGGTTCCTCCCCCAGTACCCCCCGCTTTGTTTTCGGTGTACCCCACATACTCTCCCGACCAATCGATAGCCAGGTCCCAAACTTAAACCCCGTCAGGGACGTAGCCCCAACCCTGTGGATTATGCAGGAGGCGCTGAACGCCACGCACAAGACGGTCTGGCGAAATCAGTATGTAACCCCCGTGCACCTCCAGACGTTGCAGAAAGAGAAGATGAAAAACTAAGACAGAATATCACACATCGCAGCGTCTACAACGCGCAAGCACGCAGGATCAACCGCGCTCGTAGTTATGCCGTCCCCGGTAATACGTCGCGCGCATGGCCAAAGTTCATCAGGATCATTGATATTGTCAATGGGGAGGTGTTCCCAGGGGCGCCGATGGATAGGGAGAAGATTACTGCGTACACTCTTGTGGACTGGGCCCCGTTGGGGGTGTATTATGAGTTGCCGTGGGTGCCGGCGGGTCCTGGGGTGACCCGCAAGGCAGAGTGCAGGAGAGATTATAAGGCATTTATTGGTATGCTGGCCCATTGATTGCGGAGGCAGGGGTCGCACAGGAGGTCTCATTGAAGAGAGTGGAGAATTATCTAAAGCTTAGTCGGGGTGTTAGCTATTTATATCTTAAACCTTTGCAACGAGTCCCGAGCGTAGTGCAGTTAGGGGAGATCGTGGCATAGTGTGATGTTCATGTGAAGAAAGCTACTGAGTACATGTATGTTGTCGAAGGTGTTCGTCGGCGTGGCGACGTAAACGGCACCGGAAATATTTCTATATACTAATCCCATCAGTATTAGTGCAAAATGTAAGAATCAGAAGCCCTTCCCTTCATATTTGCATTTTTCCGGCTGTTGCCATCTTTGACCGCTGCTCTCCATCATCACAACAACGAGCAATTGAAAACACTCTTGAAATAGGGCGCTCGGCACATTTCATAGTTTAGGAAGATTCTCATCATTTCATTATAGTATTTGTCATCGGCGTATGACTCACTTTCTTATTAGCCATCCTATTACTCACACGTCTATGACTCATTGTATTTCTTTTGTACTACCTTTCATTAGTATAAATATGAGGCATTCCCCCTTAGCTAGAACAATTAACACGATCAATTACTTCACTTCTCCTACATACTTTCTCTAGGTTATGAGCCCGGAGACCACTCACGCTTATACACTCTTCACCATTTCTACCACAAAGTACACTTTCTCGTTTCACTTTCAATCATGTCTGAGAGGAGCATCAAAATTCCCGCACTCCCATGCAAGCTGGATGGTCAAGGCCATTACACTGTATGGAGGGACCTTGCTACCCGCATGTTGAAAGTTCACGATCTGTGGAACTTGGTCAATGGTTCGAGTAAGCGTCCCGTGTTGACAACTACCACCACTACTGTACCTACCACGACACAACAAGCATCAGGAAGCGCTGCCGAGGCTGAAGAAGACGAAGAAGAAACCTCCGACAATGCCGAAGAAATCAGCGACTGGGACAAAAAGGACAATCTTGCGGTTGTATTTCTCCAATCTAACATCGAATTCGAAGTTATTCTCACGCTCACACCGGCCGACACTGCTCACCACCTCTGGACTCAACTTGAGGACAGATTCGATCGGAAAACCGTCACTTCCCTGCACTCGCTCCTCGCTAATGTCGTCACCCTACAGTACACACCCGACAAGGGCATCAAGGAACATCTAACCCAGTTCAATACTCTTTGGTCATCTCTCCTCACTAGAACTAGTAACTCTACGGACAAGACCAAGGACCTGTAACGGGGGTCTATGGACGTAGGGACTATGATGCCAAGGAATACAACCGAGGCGAAGACGTAGCAATAGATATTCGAGACTATGGACTATGGACTGGCTCTGCCTAGTATGACCAACTAGTTGAGCCCTATGACTAGACGTAGAACAAAGTAGTATTCGTGGAGTAAATACAAGAGGTTGCGTAAGGAGAAGAGGAAAGGAAAGGAAACATGAAAAGGCACGAGACAACACCCCTTTATATACCCAACTCCTAGTCCGTTGATGACTAATACCCCGCGTAATGGAAACCGAAAGAACATAACAGAAAGCCCATTACAAATCATAGTCCAACCGCGCAATACCTCCTCTTCACAATCCAATCTATCACTTTAGCCGAAAATACAATATTGCCGTTACAGATTACGCCCCCCTCTAAGACCTACCTCCTGGTAGGCTTAGGTTTCCGTGGATAGCGTTCATGGAACCGTCGAACAATATCAGGTGAATGCTCAAGGTCCGATAGCGGTTGCCAAGAGGCATCATCGTATCCAGTGTATCGTACCAGGTACTCAAAACCACTCCTTCGTTTCCTAGAGTCCACAATATCCTCGATTTCCCATTCTTCCTCCCCTTCGATCTCGACTGGAGGTGGTGGTGACTGTTGTTGTCCAGGTAATGGGTTAACCGCTTCAGGTGACAATAACGAAACATGAAATACTGGGTGAATCTTCATGGAACGGGGAAGTTCTAATTCATAAGCATAGGGGTTGATGATTCGTTTAATGCTATAAGGTCCAATACGTTTCCAATCGAATTTCTTTGAAGGTCGCTTTGTCGAAATATGGCGTGTCGATAGGAAAACTTTATCTCTTATACTGTAACGGGGAGCGGGAGAACGATTCAGGTTGGCCGATTCTTCTTGTATCCTTTGTGCTCGGAACATTTCGCTCTTCAGAAATTCCACTATATCCTTCATTTCCCTTGCGATACTGTTGGCCTGGTCTTCCGCCGTCGTTCTACCATGTTCCAAGGGCCCGAAAGTCATCCTTGGATTTCTTCCCGAGTTGGCATAGAAAGGAGAAACCTTTGTTGTTTCCGAAGCATAATTGTTTGTTGCAAACTCGGCCATCGCTAATAATCGGGCCCAATCATCTTGTTGATAAGAGACATAACTTCGGAGATACTGTTCCATTACGGCATTGATCCTTTCAGTTTGTCCATCAGTCTGGGGGTGGAATGCGGTGGAGTATCGTGGAGATATTTCCAGGCGTTTGCAAAGCGACTTCCAAAATTCCGCAACGAATTGTATTCCTCTATCAGACACAACGGTATCAGGTAGTCCATGTAACTTCCAAACATTATCGATATATAGCCTTGCTACTTCCTTTGAGTCCACCTCTTTAGTCGTTGGTATTAGATGACGCATTTTGGTTAATCTATCAACAACAACTAGGATCGCATTATATCCATCACTCTCAGGGAGGTCAGTAACAAAGTCCATCGAGATATCTGTCCATGGTCCATCGGGTATTGGCATTGGGCGAAGTACTCCATAAGGTGAATTGCGTGGTGCCTTGCTACGGACACACACATTGCAATTCCTAACATACCGATCGACATACTTCCGCATTTGTGGCCAATAATATTCCCGGCTTAGGAGTTCCAAAGTCTTCGCTCTACCCGGATGACCTGCTGATACTTTATCATGATATTCTTGTAGGAGCCTCAGCCGGAGGTCATTATCATTTGGTACATAGAGTGCGCCTCGATAAAGTAGCCGACCGTTATTGTCTTCCGTACATTCGGCGAGTGAAATTTTATTAGAATGATGAACGTCACTCCGAAGCATAGCGAGGGTTTCGTTTGGGAAACTATCAACTTGGTAAGCTTTTGAAAATAACTCCTCCACAGTGGACATTCCTTCAGCGGATTCATTTGATAAAGAACCCGCGAACAAACTTAGCTTTGCATCCAAATTTTTTCTCTTCAGAACCACTTGGCTCTGATGCATCAACCTTTCATCCCCCTCTTTAGGTAGGTCACCTGACCTTCTAGTTAGTGCATCCGGTTTTGCTCCTTGTTTTCCCGGTCGAAATTGTATAACGAAATCGAAACGTGAAAGAAATTCAGACCAACGAGCTTGCCGACGATTTAACAATTTTGTCGTCATGAAATATTCCAGGTTTCGGTGATCGCTGAGAACTTCAATAGGGAATTGTGCTCCTTCTAGATGATGTCGCCACTCTTCGAAACATCGTACGATTGCTAGAAGTTCTTTATCGTAGATTTCATAGTTACATTCCGCAGGGGAATGTTTCTTAGAAAAGAAAGCTACCGGGTGTAAAACTCCCTCATCATCTCGTTGTGATAGAATCCCTGCCGAAACATAGTCGGATGCATCGGTTTCTACCACAATCTTTCGATTCGGATCGAAATGGACTAGTATAGGTGCCGTTGTAAACATCTCCTTCAAGATTTGAAATGCTTTCTCCCTTTCATCCGTCCATTCGAATTTAACATTTTTCTTCGTTAGAGCTGTAAGCGGGGCGACAATCTTTGAATATCCTAAAATAAACCGTCGATAAAAATTTGCAAATCCCAAAAATACTTGAACATCATGAAGATTTGTCGGTGTAGACCATTCTAGAACATCAATAACTTTCTTTGGATCCATTCTGTTGCCATTTGGGGTGAGGATTAGGCCGAGATATTTCGTTTCTTGAACCATAAATTCACATTTTTCGGGTTTGAGATGGACATGACTCTCATCAAGTACCTTTAAAACCTTTTGAATGTGGTCCTTGTGCTCTGCAAGGGATTCGGAATAGATGAGAATATCGTCTAAATAGGCCGTCACAAATTGATCGAGATAGGGGTGCAGGATGTCATTAATCCAGTGTTGAAATGTGGCCGGAGCATTCGCTAATCCAAAAGGCATTACCGTATATTCAAAATGTCCATATCGAGTCCGGAATGCCGTTTTCCATTCGTCCCCCTCCGCTATCCTGATTTGATTGTATCCCCAACGTAAATCCAATTTAGTATAATATTTTGCTTTCGACAATTTGGTCAAGGTTTCCTTCAATAACGGTAATGGATATCGGTTCTTAATCGTGATTGCATTGAGGCCCCGATAGTCGACACACAAACGAAGAGTTCCATCAGCTTTCTTGACAAATAGGATAGGTGCCCCCGCTGGTGATTCACTATGACGGATAATCCCCTTAGGTAGGTTCTCTTGAAGGTAGTCCCAAAGTGCCTTCAACTCTGTTTGGGATAAAGCATATATTGGTCCCCATGGTGGTTGTTTGCCTTCTTCTAATACTATCTTCATATCATGGAACGGTCGATGTGGCGGAAGCGCTGAAGCATCATATTCTTCAAACATGTGGATATAGCGGTGGAACTCCTTCGGTATTAGTTGGTTAATATCGATAGTAGGTTTTTCGGTCGCTGAGACGGTAACGGTATGAGTTTCAGGTAGGGGAATTGATATACCATGAACCGTAATTGCAGTTCCACTAAGCGAGCAATGTTGACAGCAGCCTTGAGAGTCGAAGATAAGCAAATTTTCCTTTGGTCGAATCGTAACATCATGGCGTCGCATCCAAGGTATCCCCATCACAATCGGATAGTGTCCCAACTTTGTCACAAAACATGACGCAGTCTCTCGATGGCCATGAATGTCTAGTGAGACATCAACAATATGAGTAATCTTCCCTGACTTGATAGGTCTGCCGTCTATAACATCTACATGTCGTGGTAATTTGAGTGGGGTCATGATGAGATTGTTGTGGCGTGCAAAAGATTCATCGATGAAAGCATATCCTGAGACTCCGGTATCAATAAGGGCGTAGGTGGGTATGAAAGTATTTTTATTCTGTGAAATTGAACAAGTTACTACAAACTGATTCCCATCCCTTTCCTCCTCTGATACCGAAAAACCAGAAATATGCATTTCAGAAAAATCCTTAAATGGTCGCTGGGCTAAGCCACTTAGTGCAGGGACAAATCTTTTGCCGACTCGTTATCGCTTCCATCATTTTCCTCTACTCTCAACGCCGCTCCTCTCATCACCGGTCTTCTTGGTTGATTCGCAGTTGCCCTTGCTTGGGGGCAATCTCTAACCATGTGTCCAACTCCTCCACAATAGAAACATCGGCCCTCAGCTAAGCGGGCATTTCTTTCGGTAGGGGTAGGGCGACGACGTCCCCCGGACAAATCCATCGGTACATCGCCTCCCGGGCGGAACGAGGGATGGTTCTCAGGGGCAGATGCATTGACAGCTGGGGCGGCAGCGCGAGGAGCAGGGGCAGGATTCGCTGGTGGAGGACGAGAGGTCGGAGCAGCAGTAGCATTCGAAGGCTTTTTACTTCCTCGTTTAGCTTCTGCCGCTCGTCGGCGATTGTCCAACCGTTGCAAGAGCATTGCACATGCATCTACCGTCACAGGAGTTTCATGGTGTATCATTGATTCATCAAGTTCCGCATTAATGCCTTCCATCAAAGCCTCAATCCTATAGACTTCATCCATCCCTGACTCGGCAGCGTACCGTTGGAATTCGGCGAAGTAATCAGCAAAGGTTCGGTTTCGTTGACGGATGTTCCTAAGGTTCCTCCTAGCCGTACGCATTCGATCTGGGTCCCCGAAAGCAGTATCCAAGATTTCGTAAAACCGTAACATGGAAGGCAAAGCGATGCCTTCTTCCCCGACATATTGTAAGAACTGATTGGCGGCAACGCCCTCCAGTCGACTGAACGCATAAGATAACTTGGACTGTAGTGTGGGGAAGCGGTCGGCATTTCCCAATAGCTTGATCCTCATCTGTTGCTTGAATAAGTGTAGTCTTTCTCGATCGCGATCTCCCCTGAACACTTCAGGGTCTGGAAGTTTTTCCGACCGTTGGGTAACCACGGGGACAGGTGGGACTGGAGGTACCGGTGGGGCATTATCATCTCCGATTGGTTCTTCATCAGGGGCAACCACTTCAACCGCAACTCGGTGGCCCCTGGCAGCGGCTAGAT